TTTATATACGGCACATTTCCAAAGATCTCCTGGTCAGGAATTATTCATTCCCACCACAGCCCTACTACTACCACCAGTGAAGGATATAAATGCTGATATTGCAGTGCATAGCATCGAGATAGGAACTGTGGTCTACATTGCACACCAAAGTTATTCCACCTCTTTACCTGCGCATGTCAGAGGAAGCATATTACATCGACCGCAGAAATGTCACAACCTGAAGACACACCTACGACAGAGGCCTCATGCTCTCCTTCCCTGATATCCGCTAAATCGGAAGGCTCAGTAATTGTCATTCCCAGCATGGTTTATCCCTTATCGATCTTTGCCAAACGTTATAAAAATCCCGAAAAACTCCTTGCCAGATGTGTTAAAGGCCACAGGGATGGACCAAGATTGATACGACCAGAGCCACCGGAGACAAGTGATAAAAGCGACCCGCCTGCTAGTTTGTTGAACAGCCACCCCCCTCCTGAAGAACTAGACAACTACGATAATGCATCTTACCTGGACTCTGACTCCGATGCTATATCGATAGACTTTGAAAGCGAAGATAGTTTTCACAAACATTCCATCTGCTCCTACTTGTCGGTAACCAGCGACGAGATCGTCTGTAACCTCGATGATGGCAGCCTAATGCCGCAGCTGATTGAAGCATACGACATGCTCTTCCCGAATGAGCTTGAAAACGGCATTACAGACGGTACAATCAGTCTGGATATCTCCTTGGAAGAAGATGATGATGACTCCGAAGAAGATGAGGATTCGTCCTCTGCTTCGTCTGACGAAATGGGCCCTGAAGATATAAACCAGGATGTCCCCCGGCCAGGTATCGGCGAGAAGAAACGTTTCGTTGAAAGAATATTCACATGGATGAAACGGGTTCCTGCCACCGACGAGAGTGAGCTGTCTGTCTCCTTGTCTGAGAAAAATCCATCGGAAAGAGCGCTGAGAGTGACCTGAAGCGGAAGTCTAGCATGAGTGATCTTCGTCATGCCTATGAGGCCTCTGAAGGGCGAGGTTCATAGGCTATCTTGTTACATATTCCATAATTTTATGTCCTGTCACTTGATTATTACTGGAATCCACGATATTACTAGATTTGAGAATTTAATGTTGTTTGGAAATGGGTCAGTCAGTATGTGCGCTCTGACAGCAGTATACCTGAGTTCAATCTTGATGATAGTCTCCTCCTTAGGCAAAAATAGTAAAGCAACAGACTGAGAGGGGGGAAAAAAATGAATAAAAATAATAAAATCACTGAAACGACTTATTCCCCTCTGACCAGCACGCTCCTGAATACCACTTAATGAGAGTAATAGCGTCCTCATCTGGCTCGTCTCTTTCTAGCTCTTCGAGAGCCTCGTTGCTGGCGCCCATATCTGAAGGGACGGGAGACCATGAGAGGCTCGGTAACAATCAATTCGGCAGGATCAAACAACTGCTTTTGTCGAAAATCCCTACAGACAGATGGGGTGTAGTTATACTCTCCCTGTCTAGTCCTCTCTATGGACGACAATGCAACATCGCTAAACTCGTAGCTCCCCGTAACACTCAGAGCGCGGAACCACTTCTTCTCTACCAAGTCAACAACCCTACTCGCGTAAGGCCCAACCTCCGATGAAAAGTCCGAATCACGTCCAGAGGTATGTTTAAGATCGTCAATCTGCTCACGTATTTGCAGGGTGTGCTTTGCAAGATGGCACCATCTGCCAGTGCGGAAGAACATTCTGGGACCGCAAGGAGACTCATGAAAATCAGCGTAGTTGATTATCTGCCACTCTATATCCTTAACGTCCCAGCCTACAATGCTGCATACTCGGGCAAGCCATGACTTGATACGCGAACTTTCACCGGGTGGCATATGAGATGCCCTGTCGTGTAGCCTATGACGGTCCATTGGGATGTAGTTCAAGGGAAGCTGATTCCGGTTTTTTTCATTGAGCAAGAGACACTGCTTGACTTTGATCCAAAATGCGTCGTTGTCGACTACTGGTAGGGAAATGTTGTATGCATTTGGGCCAAAGCATTTCTTGCACTTCAGGACTTTGGAGATAGGCACCATCACATCCGTGTATTCAAACAACATAGAATAAAGCGGGGAGAAGTCGGGATAGTCGTCCGCAAGTTGTGCGGCTTTCCGTGCAATGCGCGATATCTTCTCAATCATGTGTATTTCCGGATGGCAGAGAGTGAAGTAGGTGTCAATCATCTGTGTTATGAACTTCGACAGGATGTCCCCTGGCGGGGTATCACCGGAATCCTTCAGCCATCGGCGGGCATGACCCGAGGACTTCTTTATGATGTTTCGTGTAGAAGGGCTGATGCGGTGCTCAAGGATAGACTGAAAAGCAAGGAGAGCCGAGCGAATTGTATCCTGGTTGACGGGGCGCTTGGGGAGTTCTTTGCGGAAGCCTAGGGAGGCTATCATGTAATTTACGTCGAACTCCGGCTCTTCTAGATGCACGGCGAGTTTCTCTGCCGTTATCTGTGGGTATCGGATATATCAAACAAATAGTAAGTAACGAACGTTGGCCGGGGTGGGAGTAGCATGAGCGAAAGTGATGCAAGACTAAGATAAAACGAGTGCCGAGTGGTTGGTCTGACCATGTAGAAGACTCCCTACATGTTCTCGCGATGCACGATAAATAAATGACATGGATCTCGTTTCCCGATAGTTCCTGCTTTGTCGTAGTTCAAGGTTTCAAGGAAGGGGAAGTCCAATTCGGTGAGTAAACAATGGCAAAACGTCTAACAGCAAGGACGAAATAAACGTTGAACATTCGATATTATACATGATCACGGTGCTGGAATATCAACTATGAAATATGAAACTGGAGTAAGTGAAAAGATGGCACCACAAAGATATAGAAACGATCCATAAAGTGACCAGCTGCACCGGTAATGATAAAAGACGAGGGAAGCAGTGTATAAGCATTGAACTCCTCCAGTTATATATGTCATCTAAATCCGTTGCTCGGTTAGGAAAAAGAGAGCCAAGCCAGTAGAAGGAATAATTCACAAGAAAGGTAGTAATGGTAGTAACGTGGCATATTTATTCTAGGAGTCATGTGAATCGTTTCCCTCGCGGGTACTCGGTGAGATTGATGCATCTCGGCTAGAAACAGCAGGGGGCCCAGAGCTAGGGGTCGGAGATGATGAACTGGCAGCAACGTGTTTTGCTTCAATGATTGAAGTAAGGTGGTTAGCAAGCTCATTTCCACCATCAAGCTTCTCCAGTTTAGATCGAAGGAACTGGACGTCGGATAGCATTCTGTATAATTGGTTAGCGGATGCAAGTCATGCGGTAATTGAATGTTATCAATTGATCATACCTTTGCCTAGCTCTTTCGGACTTTAGCGGTGCCTGTTGGAAGGCATCTGTCCATTGATCTTTATAACTCGCGAAAACAGGGCCCATGATCATCGTAACAGTCGAGTCTGGCAAATGTTTCGACAAAACTCGATGTAAAGTTCCGGTTTCTTTCGCTAAAACTTCCATGTAAGAGCTGGTAGTATCTGTGTTCGATTCTGCTTCCCAGTCCGTCTTTTTCATAGAGGTAACATGAACAGAGGCACGGGAACTCATGATATCCACAAGTTTCTCATGGATCCCGGATTGATGCTCTTGATAAAGCCTTTTGACTTTGTCAAATTCACCCATGACGGGAGTGGATGGGCAATGCCGGCGAATGAATTCCCTGATATAGGGAATAAGGGCAGTTATGAAGCTCAGAGATTGAGACGCAAGGGCTAGGTGTTTGGTAGTGATATTCTTCAAGCCTGCACTTTTTGTTGCCCCAGCGCCAAGGATCAACTGCGAGGTTCTCGAATTAAATAGCTTGAGACACTCAAGTAGAATAGGAGCAATGTCAGGGACCACATTTGGTATACCGGCCATGAAGTGTTGGAACTCTTCAGTAGCTTGTAATATCAAAAAGGCAGACTCCGGGAGAATAAATTTCTGCTCATCAATAGTTGCGCTTCTGACACGCTCTTTATTAGCTCCTGGGTCGTTAACGGGGGCTTCTTTGCTTTCTGCCGCTTGTTCAAAGTCGTTTTCACCTGTGTCCCAAATCCTGGAAGATGCGCTCCACACCTCTGCATCGTGTGTACTTGCATCCAGCACACGGGATAGGAATGTGTGTTCACGTTCGCCGAAATCTTTGGCATCCCATTTATCCAGATCCATAGCTTGAACGATACGGTGTTTCCAGGCGTCTCCGAAACTAGAAATGTAGTTCTTTATCTGAGTATCGACCACAGTTTTAAGGGCAGTGCCACTTCTGCCCGATATAGCTTCGCATTCTTCAGCAAAGAGCCTATTCAGAGTGAAGTATTGTAGAAATTGTTCGAGGGTGAAGAACTCAATCTGCCCACCTCGAACCTTTAATACCTTCACAATTTGGGACTGGACAATATCCACGGCTTGGCCAAGTAAACTTGACATATCTAAAACTTGGAGAATTTCATCCCTAGCTAGGGTGTTTGATGATGGAACATTGGCCATGGTGTCCAAACTCTGAGAGCTTTGACTCCGAGTTGGGGATTTCACCGAGGCTGACGGGTTCCCTAGATTGCTTGTGATATCAAGCAAGACTTTCACTTGGACACTCAGCCTTCTAAGGGCCTCGCTAATCCCAGTGTATATAGTAGTGAGCATTGCAAATGCATCATCTGCACCCAAAGAACGGAGGTTACGCGCAAGAATAGATGATTTCTCCTGTTGATTTAACTGTCGTCCCCCATGTGTTGAAGCAGACATGATGGATTCATTGTCCTCGTCCGTTGAACTAGGGAGATTCCGGCGAATTATGTTTTTCATTTCTCGGAGGACGGCATTTTTGAAAGACGTGGCACCAGTCATTGTATAGCGAGCCCGACCCAAGCCGGAGAGCTCTCTCTGAAGCTTTGACCGCATCTCACTATCAACAGTTAAGTATGCTGGCGTACTGGAAACAGTGTTCCGCTGGCCACGACGAGATCTCTGGAAAGCTATGCCAAGTCGAAGTAATGTCGCCTCTGGCGAGGAGTTTTCAACATGCCGGCGAAGGTCCTCTAATAAAATGTTCAAGAACCTGCTCTCATATCCAGCTCCTATGTGGGATCGGAGCTGGGCGAAATCATCTGACGCTCGCTCAAGTGCATCGACTCCTCGGAGATCTATGATCCTGTCCGTGTCCGTAATATATTGTCGGGGCTTTACCGGCCGCTCGCCAACAAGCAGCCTCTCAGAATCGTCTAGCTCGTCAGTGGCGTCTTCAAGGTCACCGCTATCAATGAGTTTCTCGCATTTAGACACTGAGGATATGACTTCCTGTAACTGGCAAACAGCATCTGCTAGCTTCCTCACATTTTCACGTCGACGTTGAAGCTTAACCACCTTCAATCCTCCCTGAGCCATATCGGCATCCAATTTTGCCAAGTCTGCACGTAGCACTTTGATATTATTTACGGAGGTTGCAGCTTCGGTGTGGAGATTCCTCAGAGAACCTAATGCCGAGAAGAAGGACTTTGAAGCAGTCGATATGGATGAAAGGAGGTGAATTTCCACGGTATCCAAATACCAAGAGAGTTTCTCCTGTAAGATTGCGTTTGTAGCGAGCGCTTTTCTGCTGGGACGTCTCTCAGAGGCCAAGTCATCGGAACCAGGCCGTGCGGGGCCCTTTGGGGAACTAATAACCTCTGATCGCTCCGACACTATATCAAACGTCCTCGGGTTTTCAAGTTGAAAGTTTTCGTCAAAATACACATTTGGTATAGTAGACAGTGGTGTAGGTGAAAGCGCTGATCTGTGGCTGGATGATGGTCGAGAACGCTGTGTAGAAGGCTCAGATGATGAAAGTGACCCTGACTGACGCCCGTCAAGCGCCTTGCTGAGTATTTGGTCAAGTTCTGGCGAGGCTAAAGAAGGGGTATTCCTCCTAATGATACTTGGATCCTGGTCTCCATTCTCCTTCGCGTGCTGCAATGCATCATATAACGAGCCAACTTGAAGCAGATAGGGTTGGAAGGACGCAGAATCAACATGCGGAATATTCGTTAAGGTGACCGGAGGTATATCGCGAGCTGAAGGTGGTTTATAACCACTGGGTGGAGCAGACGTATGAGGAAGAAGGCCAGTGCGGACAATTGGAGGTTGTAGGAGGGTTGAGATTGCTGTCGGTGAAGATAATCGTTAACATAGGCGTAACGTAGCTGAGCAGGATAGCGGATACAATAAATCCTACCATTTTGACCAGCCTCTGCTATTGACCCATGCTGCTGATGCTGCTGTTGCAGTAATGGCGGGTGGAAAGTCGATCCCAAACTCGTAATAGAGCTGGCATTGGAGCTTCTGCGAGATCCGAGCCGATGCCGTGATACGGATTTGCTATTGCTATCTGCTTGCTGGAAGGGAGTTTTCTGAGATGCAGCGGATTTCGGGGATGATAAAGGCAAGCTGTCCACCGACTTCCTGGAGTCCGGCGAGGTCATGTCGGACCTGGGGACCATGTGAGGCTCCGGTAGTTCAGTGGCAGCAATTAGGGCCTAGTTATCATGACGGCAGGTCCTCGAAGTCGACGAACGGAAATTTGGCGCATTCGAGGAGAGCAGGCCTAAAATATTCGTTTGAAGCAGCCAGTAAGAGAGGAGCGTCAAAGGAGAAGGGCGAGGTATACGTTTATAGAGAGTATTGTATTGTTGTAATTGTCATTCCGTCAGGCGTTTTCTTTTGGGCTGGATGGGAGCTTAGACCGCGGTCTGGGGATGCACATTCTTGGCATCTAATCCCCTTTTGGCGAGATCTTATATTTCTGGAAATATATTTATCCACGTATCACGTGAAACTCCATTAGCTTACCTAAGGTAAGATTCCACCAATGATAGGAGGTACCTGGGCTCCTCTACGGAAGAGGAAAGGTGCGTTAAGTTAGTTAACTTTCGCCCCACAAATTTCCAAAATTAAGGTTCCGGCGCCTTCAGGACGTGTAGTTCTGGCGCTTGAACAAAATGACCTCGACTATTTTAATGGCCAACAGATACGGAGTATAAATTTATGGATTTATCATCTACCTCCAATACCTTTGTACTCCTTTAAACTAGAAGTTACCTCTTTCCCACGTCATCTCATGGTACCCTCATTTCTCCGACGGTTGTCACGCTTTGGGTTGTCATCGAAGCCTCTTGAATTCACAAATTCAAACTTTACGCGGATACCTGCAAGCCAAAAAATCGAAGAAGAGACCATTCCAGACTACGTTGCTTCTAGATACTATCCAACTCGAATAGGGGAAACTTTTGAAAAGAGATATTAAGTCATTGGAAAGTTAGGCTATGGAGCAACGTCAACCGTTTGGCTCGCTCGGGATATGCTGTAGGTCATTAGTATTTGTGAAAACTGCAGCATCGAATTAGCCAGCTAATATACTATAACTTCAGTTGCCGCCGTTATGTTAGCCTTAAAATCTTCATAACATCTACCTCAATGGGCCAGCAATTAGATGACGAGCTCCGGATGTACAAGCGAATGGAGAAAGCCTCGCGATCTCATCCCGGCCGTAACGCTGTTCGATCACTTATTGACTCGTTTGATATCAATGGCTCCGAAGAAAAGCACAAATGTTTGGTGCATCCCCCATTATGGGAAAATTTGTTGACATTCCTCCACCGCAATCCTGTACGAAGGCTACCTCCACCGCTTTTAGCATGTGTGCTACAGCGATTATTTTCGGCATTGGATTATCTGCACACTGAATGTCGTATCATACATACTGGTAAGTCTCCGTTCATCTGAAACTTTTCTCGGGCTATACCGCTCATTTTAGCATGAATTAGATATCAAGGCCGATAATATCATGTTTAGTACTGGTGATGATACGATTTTCAGAGAATTTGAACAAGAGGAACTCACTACTCCATCTCCACGGAAAGAGCTAGATGGAAGGACAATTTACGTATCCAGAGAGCTAGGAATGCCCGAAGCACTGGGGCCACCAGTCCTCTGTGACTTTGGTTCGGCCATCCCTGGTGACGTTGAACACTCCGAAGATATTCAACCCAATATCTACCAGGCCCCAGAGGTGATATTAGAAGCTCCATGGACCTATAGCGTGGATATATGGAACGCGGGATGCATGGTAAGTCAACAGATCTATCTATAATAGTCTACTAGCTGAATCTCACCATATAGATCTGGGATATTTTTGAAGGCGAATCGTTATTTACTGGTCACGACCCAGAATTCCAAACCTATCGGGGCCGAGCTCACCTTGCTGAGATGATCAGGCTCCTTGGACCTCCGCCGCATTCACTGCTTGCGCAAGGGAACCTAAGGAATACATTCTTTTCCGCCAAAAGTACGTTCTTTCTCAGTCGTGCTCCACATTTAGACAGCCATAGCCAACTCGCATTCTAGGTGAATTATGTGCTGGAATACCTCTGCCTGAACGTGTTCAGCTCGAAGAAAGAGAAACTACTTTCGAGGGGCAGGAAAAACTGGCCTTTTTACGTATGGTACGAAAAATTTTGCTGTGGCAGAAAGAGAACCGTAGTTCCGCGAGAGAGCTTGAACGTGATGAATGGATTCAGAGTTATTTTCCAAAGAACTAGCTTTCTATCTGTAAGTGGTATGTGGTGTATACTATTTGTCTCTTGTTCTTAGTGTTAGTTCTTTATCGTGGGAGGCACCAATGTAACTACTGTCCCAAGAGAAGAATGGATCTACGTAATAGCTCTCGGAACGGCAGGCTATTCGTGCTATCCGCGGCCCGACCCGAAACTTAGATAGCCTCTTAGGTATACCATTAGTTTTGAGTAACTGACCCTTGGAACGCTGCCGTAGGCATAGCAATGACTTTCACTTTCATATTCACTTTTTATCTTATCTCATGCTACATTTTTTACGTGCCGAGAGGCATCGGTAAAAACCGTGAGACATAGAATAATTTTGCTCATTTTTTTTTTTTTGCCTATGACGGCAGCCTTTACCATCCTCCTGCCGGTTTTCTTTCACCACAGAATGAACTTTCGATGAGGAAACTTGCCCGAACGAAGTATGACTCATATAGTCCCTACCCAGCTGAACTTGGAGATATCGTTGAAGATCACTACTGAATGCGAGAAATTAGATTGGGAAGCCTTGTCAATGATACGGTTTGCGTTTGCATGTGATATGCGAGGGTATTTATTCGTCCTACAACATATATACTTGTTAACTTTGGATATCTAATACGGACGTCAATAATGATGAACCTAAAAATGCTGTGGTATGAAAAATTGTCAATGCGAGTTTGTTAAAATCTTGTTGTAAACGTGAAAGTGAGAATTGTTTTAACAAAGCGAACCCGTCACATCATAGTCGTGCTCTTCTTAGAATATGCTATGAAAGATTTGATATACCGATCCTAAGGGAAAGTATGTGCCATTAGCGTATGGGTTTATGAGGGAACCAGTGTGGCAGTTCGAAAAGCCGATTCAAGGACAAGAGTATCCCTCCGCTCATTATCACATGTCGGGGCTGTTCCTAAATGTATTGGATCACCTTCACATGGACTGCAATGTAGTTCACCAAACTTTGACAACTTCTTTCTTGAAAATCCTGAAGGATTGGCGATCCTGATCATTTAATATATTAAAAATTGATTTTAATTGGCGAACTATATGTTGTTGCCATGATGGTTTAATTCTTATAGAACGATGTACCATTCCATCGAGTGCATACTACAGATGTATTATGACGCTAAAGCTTCTGTCGTTAAAATGATAGCGTTACTTGGGTTTCAGCCCTCCGAATCGATCTTAAGGTAGCGCTACGTATCATGATGTCAATGGTCATACCCTATCCGAGTTAGTTAGGAAGACTATGAGACAATATTTCAAGTGACCATTCTTTATAAAGTCGGTTATTGAAAGTACCCTTCCAATGTGTAGACTATGGTTATACTTCGTACTAATATGTTATCAACGGAATCTCTTGCATGTAGATTTAATCTCAGGCCGAGAAAGAAGATACACTTCAGGTAGAAAAGAAAGAGAGAATTTTTTATCGATTGTGAGAAGAATGCCGACTTAACTCCCTAAGACCTAAAACCTATATTCGCACTTACATTGCTATAAAAATTATAAGGTAGTCTCGGTCAAAGTAGGAGGTGTAACTAGGCCGGCAGAATTTATTAATTAAAAGACGGGGGCTACAAGTTTTATGGCCTCTCCTGAGTATTCCCCTTAACTACTTGCGTTTTAACTAGTTATATTACCATATATTTTATTAGTTAACTAGTTTAGCCGCCGCCAAGCCGCGCGTGGAGTTGGGAGAAAACCACTTTACGCGGTTGAAGAAGCGCGACGCGTCCCAGCGAAGTCTTTTTTGCGCTTTCATTTCACACATCCCGCCGAGCAGCAACTCTACCAGCTTGAAAAGATCTTCCGCATCACCACACTCACAGCATCAAACGCACTTTGGCAGATTTTTATTGAATTGACGATTCCGATAACATTGCCGTGATAATGGATCGAAGAACACCTTATGCCCTGAGCGTGTTTCAGCCGAAAGCAGATGGAACAGATGAAACCAGAAGCCATATACAGGCTCAACTACGAGAATTTATCCTTGCCTTCCAGATCGATAATACTTTCGTCTACCGGTAAGGCTTTCTAGTTCGCTAGTCTAAGGAAAATTATACTAATTCCTATATTCCGAAAAAGAGATCAAATCAGACAAAATGTTCTCGTTAACAGATATCTTTGCGATGTCGATGTCGCACACTTGATCGCATATAACGAAGAGCTGGCTCATAGGCTCACGACGAATCCACAAGACACCATTCCCTTAGTATGTTTACTTTGGCTTTGTTTTAGCACTGTTGGATTTACGCTTACAAGGCTCGTTTCTCTAGTTTGAAGCTGCCCTAAAACAATGCACACAAAAGATTGTCTATCCCTCCCAGAGGGATATCGAGCTACCAGAGCACCAACTCCTTCTCCATTCGAGCGTATCTCTAATTTCGATCCGAGATCTCAATGCCTCAAACGTGTCAAGCCTGGTCCGCATACCTGGAATAGTTATTGGCGCATCGACCATTTCATCCAAAGCCACGGTTGTCCACATTCAATGCCGGCATTGCCAGGAGTCCGATAATATTATAGTGGAAGGTGGATTCTCAGGCTTGAGTTTGCCACGTACATGCAAACGAATGAGGCAACCGAACGAAGACAAATGTCCGATTGACCCCTACTACATCGTACACGAGAAGTGCCAGTTCGTGGACCAACAAATTATCAAACTCCAAGAAGCCCCAGATCAGGTTCCGGTGGGAGAATTACCACGACATATTTTGATTTCCGCAGATAGATACCTTGCCAATCGAGTGGTTCCTGGTACACGATGTACGATCATGGGTGTTTTCTCGATTTACCAAGCGAAAGGGGGCAAGAAATCCAACGATTCAGCACCAGCTATACGAAATCCGTATCTTCGAGCAGTCGGTATCACGAGTGACGTTGATCAGACTGCCAAGGGGGCCGGTGTATTTACTGAAGAGGAAGAGCAAGAGTTTCTGGAAATGAGCAGACGGCCTGATTTATATGAAGTATTCACCGATTGTATCGCACCGTCAATTTATGGGAATCGAGATATCAAAAAGGCGATCGCATGTCTACTCATGGGCGGTTCAAAAAAGATACTCCCCGATGGTATGAAGCTACGTGGTGATATCAATGTTCTCCTTCTTGGTGACCCAGGTACGGCCAAATCACAGCTGTTGAAGTTCGTCGAGAGAGTGTCGCCAATTGCCATTTACACATCCGGCAAAGGATCCTCAGCCGCTGGTCTTACTGCATCGGTACAGCGTGATGCCACTACTCGCGAGTTTTATCTAGAAGGCGGTGCGATGGTGCTCGCTGATGGAGGTGTTGTTTGCATTGATGAGTTCGACAAGATGAGAGACGAAGATAGAGTTGCGATACACGAAGCGATGGAGCAGCAGACGATATCCATTGCCAAAGCAGGAATCACGACCATCTTGAACGCTAGGACGTCAGTCCTGGCTGCAGCCAACCCCGTGTTTGGGCGATATGACGACATGAAGACAGCTGGGGAGAACATTGACTTCCAGACTACCATCCTCTCTCGATTTGATATGATTTTCATTGTGCGTGACGCACACGAGAGAGGGCGAGACCAGACCATGGCCAAACATATTATTAGCATCCACCAGGGAGGGCGGGGGATTGAGGAGCAAGCCGAGGCAGAAATACCAATTGAAAAGATGAAGAGGTACATCAGTTACTGTAAATCGTAAGTGTAACTCCTTCCCCCTTCTCATCCCACCCTCTGATGCATGCTGGGGTTTCACAGCGCACTTCATGATCGACTCAGTGACTAACCATGATCATAAACGACAGCCGTTGCGCTCCAAGGCTCTCTCCAGAAGCCTCGGAGAAACTCTCGTCACACTTCGTCTCCATCCGTAAAAGGGTGCATCAAGCCGAGCTTGACGCTAATGCGAGGTCGTCTATACCAATCACAGTCCGTCAACTTGAGGCTGTGATACGTATCACCGAATCCCTAGCCAAATTGTCACTTTCTCCAGTAGCGACGGAGGAGCACGTCGACGAAGCCGTACGATTGTTCCTGGCCTCGACCATGGACGCCGCTGTACATGGAGACGGCCAGGCAAGCAAGGAACTATCGGCAGAGGTAAGCAAGATCGAAGACGAACTCAAGAGACGATTGCCTATTGGATGGACTACAAGCCTGGCCACCCTGCGGCGCGAATTTGTGGATGGCCGTAATTATAACGAGCAGGCATTAAATCGAGCCTTATTGGTTCTGCAGAGAAGAGATAGTATACAGTTCAGAGCGGGGGGGGGTCAGATCTATAGAAGCGGCCCTTAGAGAGGGCGACAAATACTGCAACCACCCCCTGTCCGACATACTTAGCCCTCTTTTGACGACTCTTTTGCACGAAACTACCGTTTTAATACATATTAAACCCCCTCGCCCGATTGCTGCAATACTCTTATACCCTGATGCTTCGTGCATCCGCGCCTTCGCCACTTTTTCCGGAGTAACGGACTTTGCTATGTATGCCGCTTGCCTCCCGGATGGCGTCTGCACCCAGTTCTTGGTTTTTCGCTACAGCCTGCAGGATGGAGTCATCGCCGGCAAGCACTCGCGTCTTTAATAGGCTATGTAAGAAATCTCTGTTTTACGTGTTTACGATAGGCGTTCAGACAATTTGAATGTGGACAAGATGGCGTTTATATCTATCACAATAAATAATACATCTCCATTAGTTATTGATTGCCCAGGCGTTTCTATCGTGGATCTCGCAAGGCCAATTTCTCCCCAACACAACAGAAAATCTCTTACAGTGACAAGTTCAAACATCCGTGAGTAAGTTAACTGTGTACGGAGGTCTCCATCATAAGTCGTTAAGGACCTCTGTATTTTGAAAACTGTAATGCCAATACAGTTGTCTTAGGTTAGCATTAACTAATATCTCTTAGGGGGCGAGTCATAATTAAAGTATTTTCGAAAATAGGGGTACGAGTTAAGCGGAAAAACTTCCCACAGGCTTCCAGCTTACTAGTCAAATAAATAGGTGTGTAAGGAAGCTGTATACAAAACAGCTAGTAAGAAAGCGCCCTTAAACACTTGTGGAGGAGACCTCCGTAGTTACGGATATAAATAACAGGGAATGCTAAGTCTGACGTATTCACCCAGACTTGGCTCCGCTAACTACTCCGTAACAACTCCGTCATGTGCATCGGGTTTCAAGTGATCATGAGCCTTCAAGGCCCAAGACACAAACCGGGTACCGAGTGCTTTGTGACCCAAACGAACAGAGCCGTTAGCTAGGAGCTAGAAAATAAAAAGCAGGGAAAGAAAAAGAAAAGACAGCGAGTCGCTGAGTTCCAACTCCCGACTGCGAATCATTGAGCTGGGGACAGCGAAGTCGCTGCCTGAGCAGTTGAGTCTTGAGAACAATGAGAAAAGAACGGGTAAAAAAAAAAAAAAAAAAAAAAGAACCAACGATCAAGGTGCATCAGCCAGATTTTCCCTCGCTCACTGGTTTTCCGTCATTTTGTTGGCTGCTGGCTGCACGCTGGCGGGTTGCTCTCTGGTCGTGCAGGCAATCAGCTACGTGGTTCGCTTTGCATGAGGGAAGCATCCCTGGTGATATCCCAATTTCGCGGGACGATCTGAACCCGAAAACCCGCAGCGGCAGATAACACGATGGATGTACCGCGTATATGTATAGTTGTACGCCGTATATACCTCCAGACATATAAGACGAAACCGGACGGAAATGCGAATCTGGGGCAGCCCGGAATACTATCAAAAATCAGTCTGGACAACTATAGCAGGTGGGCCAAACTGCTCCGCCTGTGTTGAATTTTGTCGTTATTTCCGGAAAGCAGCAAACTATTCACGCCGAAAAGCATGGCGGAACAAGGATCAATTTGTTGGAAACTGGATAACTATTAATAACTTGGCCCTGTTATCAACTGGTGTGAACACGGAGTAGTTTGCTTCACTCCGGACTCTCCTTGCCTCTGGATGCCTCTCCCCGTCGGTCGAAGGACGGGGACCGTCGTAACTCTCGACCGTCTGTGTCTTTTGGAGGTGGGCAGCGAAGCTGGGTCGACCCCATCCAAATTGTACCATTATGCACCTGAAAATTGGGGTACGTCGAATGGAAGAGGGCCGCTGCGTGAGGAAAATTTGGCCTTATGACCAAAGGTTGGAAGGATTTACGATGTAGCCCAGCGAGCTAAAGCTCAACCTCGACATCAACCTCGGCCTGAGAAAGGAAAAATAAACCATGAAAAGGCCAGAGCAGAGGCAGTTAGAAGAAAAAGAAAGGCGTACTGCAACTCTTAGGTTGTGAAGTTAACCTAGTCGGGCCATGCAAGGGTTCAAACTGGCGCAATGTCCCATTGTCCATAAATCACTTGGTTGGCGTCTCTCAAGGTCCATGGTCGCGGGGGGGGGGGGGGGGGGGCGGAAAAAGAAAAATGAAAAGAAAAAGACCAAAAATTGGGCCAGGCAGTCTAGCTTGCCCCGGGTGGCACATTCCGGCGCCGTTTTTTGTATATATAGTTAGAGGATCTCTTCTGTTCAGGCGCCCTCTCTGGCCAAATATTTCCCTCTCGACCAGACGCCCATCACTTGTCGCACAATCCATCATCAAAATAATATTTATATAATAATCAGATATGCCCGAGATGCCTCTCCCAGACCTGGAGCCAGACTCGATAGTGGTTGAGAAGACGGCAGATGGCGTCACTACCATCGGAATCAATAGACCTGGCAGGAAGAACGCCATCAATCCGCCAACCGCCACCAAATTACGAGCAGCGTTTCTAGACTTTGAAAAGGACTCCAGCCAGAAAATATGCGTCTTCCACGGTATTGGCGGCACATTTTGCTCTGGCTTTGATCTCAGCGAGCTCAGAAAATGGGACAAACCCACGGAGAGCAAGGAGGAAACGGCCTCCAAACCTGACGCCGGTGGCAGTCACAATAGTAGTGGCAATAGCGGCAGCAACAGCGTCACGCGCACACACTTTAAGCCTGTGAAGGGCAGAAACGAAGCACCGCTAGGGCCGGGACGGATGCAGATCGAGAAGCCCGTCATTTGCGCTATCTCAGGCCATGCTGTTGCTGGAGGCATGGAACTAAGTTTGCTAGCTGATATCCGGGTGGTCGAAGAGGACGCTATCTTTGGAATATTCAGTCGACGATTTGGCGTACCCTTGCTGGATGGTGGCACGGTCCGACTTCAGGAAATTATTGGCCTCGGCAGAGCACTGGATATCCTTCTCACTGGCCGGCCGGTGGGCGCGACTGAGGCCTTGCACATAGGACTGGCCGCCAAAGTGGTACCGAAGGGAAACGCCTTTCATGAAGCCATGAAGATGGCTCGTGCTCTGGCAGCAGTGCCCCAGGAGTGTTTAAATGCGGACCGGAAGGCATGTTATCACGCAGCCTATAACTCTCCTTCGTTTGAAGACGCGATGTCGTATGAGTTCGAGGAGGCCGTCAAGGTCAGCGACCTGGCTATCAACAAGGCCATGAATTTTAATAAACGAGAGAAAGCAAGACTGTGAGGATTGACGTTTATCATTCTTTTCTTTCACTCCTGATGACTGATGACGGTTTATGATTGCCGGTGGTTTTGATATTCAGCGGGCGTGACACGCGACCCTTGTGAAAGCGACCACTGGCGGCCGGGGCGGCAGACCTTGTACAAAGCACCCTTTTTTAAATTCACGTTGTATCATGTTGTAGTTAGTATTGCTTCCCTGGCAGCTTATATTTAATGGAATAGGTAGTACCTGGCATCTCAATACCAATCCCCTGGGCTGTTGTCCTCAGGTCAAGTTAAACATCTCTAACTTTTCCCGACGGTCGGTAACTATAGAGCATGGATCTAGATGCTATAATAGTAAACTATGAGGCTCCCGCAGGCCACCTGACGTAGGCCAAGCGCGCGTTTCTGGCGGCAGACAGCAGTGAAACAAGTACAGGGACCCCAGCAGCAGCCTGTCGACCTGGGTATACATACGGTACATCACCCTATACATCTCAACGCCGACGTGTGTCCTTGACTTCGGCAATCTGATACAGGCAGGAGAGTTTGACGGCGCGGATCGCAAAGTTATCCCGTTGGCTCGCCGAAACTTATATGAGACCCCACCTCGATACGCTGAGTGGAAGATATTTCACTGACAAACAGAAACAGACCGGTCAATTGAATGCAGCTATCATAGCGCACATAAACCATGGCTCCGTCGATTCGAGTTATCGGTTCGCTGAACGTGGACATGGTCTCTGTGACCCCCCGGTTCCCCGGCCCTGGAGAGACGCTGACGGCAACATCCTTTACGACAAGCCCAGGAGGTAAAGGAGCCAACCAAGCCGTTGCCTGTGGCCGTCTTTCTCGATCCCGATCTTCCCCCTCCTCCTCTTCTCTCTCGGATGTGTTGGCCAACGTCGAGATGGTCGGCGCAGTCGGCCAGTTAGACGCACACTTCGGTACATTGCTACAACCTACACTCGCCAACTCCGGAGTTAGCACAGAGAGAGTACGGAGGATAGACGATGAACACACAGGTGTAGCTGTGATTATTGTTGACACATCTGCTGCTGGTGAGAATAGGATACTGTTTTCACCCAATGCAAACTACTCTGGAATGAAACCTACGGATGAAGTGATTTCGCAGTCACTGTCGACTCCCCTACCAGACCTCATTGTCCTGCAGGCGGAAATCCCCATTGATACGGTTATTGGTATTCTGGGAGGAGTAGCCGCTAAGAGGAAACTTCAAGAAAGTGATGTTGAAGTTGTATTCAACCCTGCTCCCGCACCTGAAGGCGGGCTACCAGACGATGTATATGCAGCCGTTGACCATTTGATTATGAACGAGACGGAGTGTGATTTGATGGCACCCAAGGAGTTACGAGATAGTAGCCTCTCTCAAGAAGAACGGAGGAACGAAATTGCTGTACACTTTCATGCCCTTGGGGTGCGATATGTGATTGTCACACTCGGAGCCAAGGGGGTATGGTATAGCGCCGCCGAGCCCGGTAAGGTTGCTCAGCAGGATGCGAGCAAGTGGTTTAGGTCTGTCAACGAAGTTCCTGCCTCAAAGGTGGACAAGGTTGTTGATACTACGGCTGCGGGTGATACGTTTGTTGGCGGATACTGTGTTCAGATTGCACAGTGGAGGGAACAGAGGAGGATAGCTGGAAAGGCTTGCTCGGCTCTTACAGCAGATGAATGGAAGGATAGGCATGTAAGTGTGACGGAGGAAGCTGTTAGATGTGGTACCAGGGCCTCCGCTCAATGCGTCCAGCGGTCTGGGGCGATGGACAGTATACCATTCAGGGACGAGATCTAGATTTATATAAATGAAGCACTGAAATAAAGTTCTCTTGGGATATAGAGTCGTCTCTGCAGGGCACTTTAACAATTAGATTATGGATATCTCAAAAACTAATAGAAAAGTGTCGTGGCCATGTATAATGTTAAAGTTACTAAGAATGTAGAGCAGTAGATAAGGATAAAGTAACATAGTTATTACTTGACTATCAGACTCGGTATGTTGACTATGTCCTTGACTCAGTCAGGTCGTGATATATGAGCCACCAAGCTTCGATAGGGACTACAACTGGAGAAATGTTGGCTTAAATACATCATGAGCATGGATTTGACGTCTAGCAACCTGTATATGCTGCGGAAGTGGTAATCTTCTGTTGCAAGCTCTGGAAGAGCAGCCGCAGCCACCATTGAAGGTATTGGCACAGCCAAGGGAGTGTTCACTCGCGAATCCGGAAGCTTGGATGGTTGGGTCGCTTTGGTGGTTGGACTGGTAACACTTCTTGGTTCGAGAGTGGTAGTCGACACTGTGGCACTGGAGAACGGAAGAGCAGGTATCCATGCACTGCTCCAGGCTGCTCACAATCTCTCCGCCGATAGGGGTAGTAACATGTCTCTTGCCGCAAGACATCTTGTAGACCTCGCCATGATCAGTGGTATAGATCATACCGTCGGTTATGGGACATTCAACGGAGCAAAGGTTCCTCTTCTCAATGGCGGCTGGATAAGTTGGTGGGTCAATGACATAGGCAAAGTGATGGTTCTGGCAAAGGACACTTTGAGAGTTGGGATCGTATGGGCCTTACATAATGTCACAGGCGCCGTTCGCGTGCTCGTAGGTGACAGCCTCACAACCATCGGTGGAGCTGCACTGATCAACACAATCCTGGTAACTTGACGCGGTGATTCTGTTCTTGTTGGTGGTGAACTAGTTGTGAGTAACACACTGGAGCTTGAACTAGCTACCATCTGCGACCTCATAGACCTTTCCGCTATCGGAGTTGCAGCTCGAAGTGGTTGCAATTTGGACATTTTGTTGGATGGGCTAGTTGTTCGAAGGTCCTCCTCCAGTCGAAGGGTTTCCGGTTCCAGTATTGGGGGTGCTTCCTGCCCCTCCGCTGCCGCCGAGCGTAGCCCATGGATCAGTGGCTGGAGGGGCACTTCCTCCGCTTCCTCCGCTGCCACCACTGCCGCCGCTTCCACATGGAGTAGACCAGGGGTCATTGGCAACCTGTGCTTGAGGGGCAGGGGCAGGCTGAGACCCTTGGGACCCTTGTGATCCTTAGCCGAGGGTATCCCGAGGGCTACCCTGGACAAAAACCCCGTAAAAGCTAAGGAGAGTTCAAAGGACGCAAACGCCATTGACGACCACCGCATTCAAATGAATCATCGTAACTAGGATAAAGGGGCCTGGGAGTGTATAAAATGGCTGTAATCAACAAGTGCAGGCGTGTGCTTCTTCGGTCTGACTCAGGATATCCATCGACCCTTATATAGCCGTCATGAACATATTTCCAAGAAATTGTACTCCATAACCTTGAATAATAGCCACGGAGAAGGGTTGAGATCCAAATTTCAGATTTACGCCACGTATGTAGCAGTATGTGATTGTTCTCGATCATCCCGGATATCTAATGCCTAGTTTGACTTAAGATGTTCTCCAACAAGATTATAACAGCTGATGATGCCGCTGTTTAGTCCCTGTGACTGTGAATTAAGACAATGGCGTTGCTGAGGATATAAGATCCTGGGTGGCTAGAAATGTAGACCCGGCTGGTCGAGCCCTTAAGAGAATTTTGTGTCTCAGAATTGGGCTTGGGATATCAAGCAGATAATGTCAGGTTACTCGAGCCTTGTAAAGACATTATTGGTTGCTCTAAATTGTGTTCACAATAATATGAACACCTTTGCTGAAACTTGGTATCTTCTTCCTCTGCGCGAGGGAAATTAAAGTCTGAGCTTGTTGAAGATTAAGGAGAGCAACACAAATTTGAGATACCTGGTACTTAGACCTAGCCTAGTATCCCCAAAAGGTAAATGCAGATCTCATTGTTGTTCGAGAGGTCAAGTGGAAGATTCCCAAAAATCAGAAGCTGGTTTCCTTGTCTTCAGTTAACGGTGAGGTGGTGAGCCTTGAGAATTAGCAAGCTCATGGTGAGGTATATAAAGGCCTATCCCGTGGGTACGATTCAATCTTTCGCCATCATTCTCCTCATCAAAAGGAACACCATTGACCAACTCCAACTATTAGTACCTATTGCTTATCACTTGTGAAGGTGAGTCTTTATCCTGCCAACCTGGCTCAGTTCGGGGCTTGTCAGGCTAACCACTCATTCCCATAGTATTCTCTCATTGAGTGAAAATGCAGCTCATCGCGCTTCTCTCCTTTTCTCTTGCTCTTATGGGCACTGCCAACGCCCAACTGTGGATTCCTTTGAACATCCCCGATCCCCAGACCACCTCCACCTCCCTCTGCTCCTGCTCCGGCACAGAACTGCCCCCCTTGCCCAGCAGCACCGGTCTGCCCACCGCCACCAGCCCGCCCACCAGCTCCAGCATGCCTCTTCTAGCAATCCAGTATCCAAAGGGCCAGCAAGCCTGCAGCAACCTGTTCCCTGGTTCCGAGCCAGTGGTCAAAGCTGATGGAAGTCCCAAGGGATGCGCACCACCTGGTGGCTTCTGCACGAGTCAGCTCAAATGCTAAGTCCTCAGAGAGCATATATCATGTGGAACACTCGAATGATATCACTAGGCTTTCAAGGTAGCCAAATCTCATGGTATATGCGGAGGACGCCATCTTCACCTTGCTCTAGTTTGATGTCGTTAGTTAGGCTAGTCAATGTTTGAGTGCAAGCAAATTTCAAACCCTTCTGCCATGCCACCCAGCTGGAACCAAAATGTTCGAGAATTGTAGAACAATACTATATTTGTCCATAAAACTGTAAATTTGTTGTCCATCGGAGGTGAAAATCAGGGTTTGCCGAGTCATATCACGTGATATGCTTAAGTCCAATTAGATTAGGCTTTCGAGATATACTATGGGGCCCGTGCCTTTTTAGCTCTAGCACGGAAGTTTGTTTCGACGTCCAAAACTCACCCAATACAAAAACAACGCTGTTGACAAATATAATCGATGACTGTAAATGTGCAACTTGGACAGGAGTATAACCTCCGTGTTTATCATATATAGCATATCCAGCTCGGACTGAGGAGAAGAATCTAGACAGTGATGTTTGCCGCACGTGTACTCTGATATCACACATGAGGCGCTGCAAAAAACCCCACTTATAAAATGGCCCTTGGCGAGCATCGATAGCAGGACATATGTTTGTCTTGCTCTTGAATTAACGCATAGCTAATGCCCTGCACCGAGTTAAATCTCGCCTGATGTTATCATAAGATTGTCGCCTGCTCCGTTACTGCTTTCGAGATAAACATGATAGTATTGCTATAAGCCACTCGAGCGACTAGCATTTGCTTTCTGTGGCTTGACTTCATGTATTCGCCCAGTTTTTGAGCTTCCCAGAAAGCTGAGATCAACTGCTGGGAGCAGATCAATGATCGCCGTGCAGCAGATAACCGAAGACCGAAGACTCAGACAAAAATGTTAACAAGTAAATCGAGTTCTGAACCATACGTCGACCTGCCCTCAAAAGGCTAGAACGTTGACGAGAATTCGGTTCAATTGTGGGCATAGTATATATATAGCTTGAGCTTAAAACTCCATGGCTAAGCCTATGGGATAAGAAGGCTTACTCCCAGTGTTGTTATATTCACAATGTTTCAGGCCAAGATTCTCGTAGTTCCGCTGCTACTGCTAATTGGGGTTTCAAAGGCTTCCGGTCAGTAGTCTCTCTATCTCAAACCCGCAATGAATGTATCTAACCAGGTCTGAAGACGGTGTCGTAGATATACCGTTTTTTCGTCTGGATGAGTCAACGAGCTGCCCTGCCCATGTTTTTAATGCTTACATCATAAGTCGAGAGCCACTTGTTACTTATATATCTTCCTTTGTTTCCAATGAGATCGACCACCTTTTGAAAGCAAGGTAACTATATTATTATTTAGTCATATAAGGTAGGCTCATGAAGCATATCCTTAAAAAAATACCGACGCGATACTGACTTGCCAATGTCGACGGTTTAGTGAAGACAATTATGCGCCCTCAGGTGTTTACAACGGGGTAGATACGGGTATAAACGTACAAGAAAGACTTTCTGAGGTCGCATATCCTGAAGGTGTGAGCGCCGTCGAATGCGTTGGAAGGCGTGCTCTCGCTTTCCAAGGTTGGTCACCGTACATCAGTATTGAAAAGCTCCAGGTGCAACGCTATAAGACGGATGGAATTTCCAAATACCACTATGACTCTTTCGGTAAAGGATCGAATGGAAACAGGGTATCGACCTTCAATATATTCCTCCATTCAAACTGTACTGGTGGCGGCACCCATCTCCCCAACCTACGGACGCCCGAGGAGGACCCGGGGTGGTGTGTATTCATTGAGTGTGACCTTGACGAGTCTGGGGAAGCGAGGACGGGTATTACATTCAAGCCAATTAGCGGGAATGCGGTGTTCTGGGAGAATATCTGGCCTAAGGGGGAGAGGTATCAGGAAACACTACACGCCGGTCTGCAGATCGAGTCTGGTACTAAGATTGGGTTGAACATCTGGAGCTGGCATGGCATTGGCCTCTCTGAGGCTCGGTTGTGAATCTGCTGTACGGAGTAGTACGCCTAGACATTCCAGGTCGGACCATATCAGGGCATCAACGGTAGCTTGAACAGGATGTGCCTGCTGGCCATCTGTCTATGGAGGTGTCTCAGTGGTACTAATATCCGGTCAACGAGTTGGTGTATGCTAGAACTTGCATCTGTCCGTCAACGAGTTGGTTATGTACCTGCATGCTCCTTAGCCGAGTTATTGAATATATATGCACGAGCCCTGCTAGATGTACGACGGTGACAGCAGCGGGATCAAAATCTGCCTGCCCCTTGCCCTCCCTGTCTCGCGAACAGGTAATTGATTAATTAGTTCACGTCGCGACAGTCTAGGGGTCTCTACGCGTCGTTCCCCTGAGTATTGTAACCGCCGCCCACCATAGCTCAGGCCAGAGCAAAGCGACGAAGATAGAAAGTCGCCGCTAGCACTATTATCTTCTCATCTTCTCCTCTTCATCCTCTTCATCTTTATCTTCGTCTTCATTATCTTCATCGTCGTCGTCCTCTTCATCCCCGTCGCATCGCCAGCTGCACGTCGCGTCGCGTCGCGAAAAACCACTATAACCCAATTGGGCCTTCGTGGCTGCGACCTGCATAGACGCCACAAAATCTTCCGACTTTCTCGCTGGCCCGTCGTATCACCGTCAAGACATCTCCATCTGCCAGCCATCAGCATCTCGCATTCTCCTGCTTTGCCGCCCGCATCGTCACGGACTACACGTAGCGGCACGTATCGACTGGCTGAGATCGACCCCTGGACCCTCCTGTATGACGATAGACGTGCTGGGGCCTGGTTCTCCTCCCTTCGTCCGCCCTCGCTGCGCCATCCAAATCTGCTGCTGAACCGCCTCGGGTCGCGACGAGGGGTCTTAGTCTTGTCCTCCTATTGAAACGTACCATCGCCAGGGTCCCGCGTCGCTGAAATATAGGTCGCGGTCGGCCGGGCTGCCTATTAGTGATCGGGCATCCTCTATATTGCTTGCGGCGCCTCTCTCCCTCGCCAGACATCTTCATCTCACCAAGCTCCGTGGTGACGACGTCTTGAGAACCCTCGTCCCTTGCTTCAATATACATACGTCTCATACATATATATACAGACATATATACGCATATATACGTGCTCAGGAGGATATCTCAGCAGCTATCGAAGATATGGCCGCAGTATCCTACCCAATGTCTCCTGCGAGGCAGCCCTTTGCGGTTCTGGGTGAGGCCAGACTACGTACTGCCAACAGCATCAAGAACCAGCAGAATGGTATGAGAAAACTTCTTACTTCCTCAAGGCAGTATCAAGATAAGCGGGACTTACCATTAGCCAGGCGCGACTGCAAACTCGTTGAAGCGTCGACTGGACGTGTTAGACACTTCAGATGCTGAGAACATCGACCCTCTTCTCATGGGCTCTCCATCCAAGCGCAACAAAGGCGGCATTCAGGTGCACCAAGATACCACTGATAGCATCCACGTCTTCACCAAGCCAGCCTTACCTGTGAAGACGCCTGCAAAGGCGCGAAGCAGCAGCTCGGAATTCATCACGCCTGCGCGCCCAATTCGTGGCCAGTCTTCTCTCTCTGCTCCTCTCAGAGCACCAGCTGGCCGGTCTCCAAAGTCAAAGGCAAAGAGCGTCAAGGCCTTTGGCCGTCGTAGCCTTGGCTTCTGCCGCGTTGACCCTCCCACTACCAACAAGCGTAGCATGACTCGCGTGCCTTTCTCCATTGCTGACGCTCTCAATGGCACCTTCACCGTCTCCCGTCCAGTTGTCGAGTCGACCTCATCAACCACGCCAAAGGCTAGACGTCCAAAAGCATGGGACTTTGAAATACACGCCGACACCGAACAAGACGAGATGGCAAACTTGATGCAACACTCGACTTGTGTTCTTGACATCAGTGACGACGAGGAGAAGCAGGCACGCGAAACCAGAGGAAAGGAGAACATTCCTCCTTCGCAACCTCTTAGTGATGGAAGCAATGGACCTGCTACCGCCCAACATACATCGACCACTTCTGCTAGGAATGTAGAGATGGGAGATGAACCTCGTTCGCCTTTGGGTGAACTCGATGTAAAGGCCTTCATCCCTGAAGGTGAAGATATTAACAGTGTTGTCATTATCCCAGAGGACGAGGACGACACATCCACTGAACAGAACCCTACTACTGTTACTGTTGAAAAGGCATCGGATGCCACCCCAGAGAAGCAGTCTAAGGCATCTGTTCAATCGAAATCCCTCTCCAAGACAGAGATCGCGAGTCTACTCGGCCGCACGGCTCCAAAGGTTCAACCCGAGGAGCAACCCAAGGAGGACACCCCAGCCACCGAAATAAAAACTTGCGAGGGTTCCACTACGACCGAGGAGGCCTCCACTACCACCAAGGGGTCCGATGAGCCCGCTGAGCCCTCTGCCCCATTGTCATCCTAATAGCCTCGATACCTCAGGATGATTGACATTTTTGATGACTGGTTTGCCTCCCTTATTTTATCTCTATTTCCTTTCCGGGTGTTCTGGGACGGTGGTATCTTTTTTCTCTTTTATTTTCTTTCAAAATGGGTATATTCTCTTTCGGTGTTATGGGTATCTTTATTTCCTAAGGAGTTCCTGGTTTATTTTTTCTTCTTTCCTACCACGTCACTCATTTGATTGTTTGATTACAGTATCCCTATTCCAAGCTTAGCTCCCGCTATCCCACCCCTAATCAATTGCTCACCTCAGTTCTGCGCCTGTTTGCTTGATTTGCCATCGACTACTTTAGTTTTGCTTGCTTGCCTGCTCGCCTGCCTGCTTACCTGCTGCCCATTGCTTGCTTGAATTACCGCAATGACCGTGATGTTGAATGTCCATGTCTGTTTACGCAGCGTCTGCGCCAAAGTTAACCCGTAGCAACACGATGGCCATGATTTACGAGGACAAGAGCTGAAAGTGTGAACGACGCAATGTGTGTGAAATGTTAATTTATGAAAGCTGCCCTTGAGAGTTTGTTGTGCTTTTTTTTTTTTTTTTTTTTTTTTTTTTGACTTTGCAACGGTTTGTTGCCACTGCGTAATATGTTTGAACTCTCCGTGTAATTACTACCCGTGCTTTGATGTTTGTATCGTTCAATATAAAAACGAGTCATGGCTCCTACCTAAACGTGCTTGGTATAGACGGAGGCATTACTACTCCTTTTGGAATGCGATATCGACATCTTCCGCTTCATCGTAACCTCCCATTACTTCGTCGTCATCGTCTTCATCATCGTCCCGATCTTGCTCCTGCTCCTCGCCCCCCCTATCATCTTCATCCTCGTCCGGCTGATCATCCCATCTAACTCTTTTTTCACCCCTCCCGAAGGGCCCAGCAGCTCCCCTAAATCTCTCTCTCATCTTGTCCATTTTCCACGGCACGTTGCGAGCCACTGCTCGAATCTCTGTGAGTAAATGAGATGGCACGGGTCCCAGCCCATCCTTAGCCAGAGTTAGCTTATTCAGATCCTCCTCTGAATCTACATGGCTCGGCAGACTCAGCAGAGGCAATAACTCCTGCTCTGAAGGCCAGTCTGTTCGGCCCTCCATCATCATAGTCATCTTCATACGCATTATCGTGCGAACTATTGAGAGTGTAACGTTACCGTACCATCCACAGGAGTAAATATCACACTTTTCCCTAGGCGGATGAGCGTCAGGAGATGAAGGATCTAGTAGCCGGGCAAGTATTGGATCCTCAATATCAACTATCATCCATGTCTTTCCGTCTTTGGAGAGTGGTGGTTCGCCAGTCCAGATATGCGATCTAGCGAGTGTAGGGTCAGTGTTGTTTTCAAATGATAGGCGAGGAAGAGTATGTCGTCTTCCCGACAGAGGGGTGGTGGTAGTTGTGAATTGCGCGTTTGAGTCATTTTCCTGCTCTCGCCCCTCCGTCTCCGTTGAGACTGGGAAAAGGCGGAACATGAGCGTTTGGTAGATTCTGTAATCAGGCGAGATTCGGGGATCAAAGCCGAATTTGAATATGCCATCTCGCCAGGGTCCCGAGCGGAAGAGGTAGCCGACATATGGAATGGCGATACGAAGGGCATATTTTCTTTCAGGCGTGGGCAGTTTGTTACGAAGAGCACGACGAGTCCAAGCTGGTCTTTCATTAAAGAGTGCACGCAAGGCAGCCACAGTGTCGTGGACAGTCGGATCCTGATCTGACAGTGGTGGACAGTTTGGTTGTGGTTCCGTTGGCACCGCCGATATGTCGTAAGACACAAGGTGAGTGGGTATCTTTACTATTCGTTGGGTGTTGGCAGTTGTTACTTGGCCAGATGGGTCAATCGAACGCTTCACTGTTGGGTTTTGTCGGTAGCTATGGACTTGTTAGAACATGTTTTGGGGTCTTATTATGACGTAATGGAGTCTGCTTACAGATATTGGAAGGCTACGTCGTTGTTACTTAGGGCTGGGGGTGGGATGATGTCGACGTTGGATGTAGCCCCTTTTGAAAGGTCAAATTCAAACTTTTTTAGTTTTTCGTCTCCAAGACAGGGTCAGCAGACACTACGATTTATCGAACTGAACGCACTCATAACTTACACTCAAATGGTAATATCGTCTCTCGGAATTTTTGTATAAACGGGCTGCTTGTCGTTGAGTATGCAAAATCGGGCAGTCCTACATCCAGTCATTAGGCTGAAGCTGCAACAAGAAAAATTCGTGGACATAACACACCTCTAAAAACATGAGTTCGATTAACCTGGCCAACAACATCTACTTGGTAGCACCCGGCATCTTCCCGTAGACGCTGAAGAAGACCTCGAGCATCTAGCAGGCTAAGAGGCGTCACCTCCCCATCCTCATGACTATCAACGAACGGGTCCTGAGAACCTCGCTTCCGCCTTCGCCCAGTTCTCCTGAGCACAGTAACCTTAAGAAGAATATTGTTTGTCTGCTTGCTTGTAGATCTTATTGGCCTGCTCATGACATCTTCCGGGTTCAACATGAGAGTCAAAGGTGAGTCTCGATTTGACGCATCAAGCATCTAACGGGAAAAATTAGCAGGAAAATAGGCAGCAGTAAATGTTTGGTCGGCCTACCTCTGATATTGCTGCATGGCCTTGGAGGGTATCAATGGCTTTATCAATGTTTCTTACAACACATGGGTGTTCTACGCTGACAACGTCCTGTGGCGGCACTACATACCACGGAGCAGTACGCTCGCCACCAGCGTGTTCATGAGACATTTGGGTATCAATTGCAAGCCCGCTTGGTGTTGCTTTTTTTTCAGTCGTATAAAGCAGAGAGACAGGATCCTTTATTGATCGTATAGCCCCTTGTTGGTTGCTTGTTAGTTAGTTAATGCGGCAGGGAGCTCCTGGCACTGGGTAACTAGTTATAGTTGGTCCTTTGATATTGGGTCCTGCTCAGACGGCTGGCCGTGTAGTTGCTCTCGTTTGATGCAGTTTGCCCATGATCAGTGTCTCAGCATCCACTTTTCACCGTCTCAACTGACCTGCCCGCTGTACATATTCAGCGTCTCCTCTCTGTCTGCTTGCCTATCTTCGCCTTTTATCGTCTTTGCTGGCCATCTTTCAACTTCGTGCTGCAACGCTCACGTGACACCTTCAAACCACCCCCCCGGCGCCGTTTCGAGATGCGAAGAGCGTCAACTCTCTGGCCTGTCAACGAGAAAAGACGAGACTGAATGGCTGCTTCAAGGCTCAAACTACGCTGACCTCGCGCCCGTCGTGCCTCTGTCGCCTGCTGCTTAAGCACTGCCTTCACTCCCTCCGGCAACGAGATTCACTCCTCCTTGCCCAATCGCTGGTTAGCTACTTTCGCTGGGCCCCGAACAACGCCCCCCGCCCTTCTGGAAGTTTGGACAACGCTCGCGCTGCCAAAAACACACCAAGGAAGCAACAGAAAAGGGGCAAAAGGCTTCAATAGACGCGTGTGAATACGACTGTCAGGTCTGCTACTGCTGGCTCCGAAAGGCTCCAGGTAGGTCGTGCAACGCTGCTCTTCTTCCTGCTCTCCCCTTGCGTCTCATTCTCTTTGGTGGACGGGATGTTGTTTTGGCCCTGCGCTCCCCCATCCAGCCCGTGCCCTGCAACCTCAATCTGTCTACCTCGCCCAATGCTTTCGGATCCGACGCTGCATCTTCTCGCTGGAACACAATTAATTTACAGGTATTATATGCTTGGAATCAGTCAGGTCGCTAATCAGCCATATAAAAAACAATAGTTGACCACCCGCCGTTCACCTCTCTACCTATCCACCGTCCTCGGCTACCCATCGATTTCCCCCCATACCCTTCCTAAACAGGGGTAAGATTCGTGGTGGTTGGGCACGGGGCCAACGTTATATTTTGTTGATGCGGCGGGATTATACTTGTTTGTGAGCAAATATGAAGGGCTTCAGGCAGAGAGTTGTAAGTTGCGTGTCAACGGCATACCACCCTCTGACGAGACTACACACACCCGCCTGCTCTGTTCAGGGGGGCTTGGAATTTTCGTACAATGCGAGGGATAGAAGCTGATGATGTTAGCACGAGCAGCTGTCCCGCGCGAAGGACTCGAATAAGTCGTCGAAAAAGAAGGACTCCTCTTCTTCTGGTACGTTGTCTCCTGGGGCCTCCGCGAATCTTGGTCAACCAGGGCAAACGTTATCACCGGCAGGCTCGAACCACGGTACTCCTACGTCGTCCACAACCGCCGTCAATGAGACAAAGTCGAAACCCACCAGCTCTCCGGACAATGGAGCCGCCGCCGGAATCACCTTGCACCACAATGCTCCCGTTCTACCTAGTGGCGCGCCTAGCCAACAGCACTACATCCCACAGCAGCAACACATAGGAGGGCAGACGTCGAGCAATGGACCTGGTACGCCTACTCGGCAGGGGGTTCCCATGGCCCCAAGCGTGGTTATTAGCCCTAGTGCACCGGTATGTTGACTCTTCTCCGATGGACTGATCCTTTCAAGTTCCTCATAAGCGTCTTCGGAGTCCAGTTTTATTCACTTGTTCCTGTAGCTAACTATTGCTGTCTCATAGCACATTCCTCCTCCCGGAGCTGCAGAAACAATGCCGGGCGACCTACAGCCACCAAAGATAGGGCAAAAGCCGCACCTTATTGACAGATTACAGACCCCCAAAGATATCACCGGAGGACCTAGGCCTCCACGGAGACAGCATTCGTCACGCTTTGATATCTCAGACCAACGCCAGAGGGAACTAGAGAAACTTCCTGGGTTTCATGAAGTACCACCAAACCGGCGACAAGACTTGTTCATGCAGAAAATCGACCAGTGCAACATTATTTTTGATTTCAACGATGCAACGGGAGATATGAAATCTAAAGAAATCAAACGACTTGCTCTCCATGAGCTGCTCGACTATGTTGCCAACAATCGGTCGGTCATCACAGAACCTATGTACCCCAAGGTGGTGGAAATGTTCAGTAAAAACCTGTTCCGACCGATCCCCCCTCCGGTTAACCCTCAAGGAGATGCATTCGACCCGGAAGAAGACGAGCCTGTGCTAGAGGTAGCATGGCCTCACATTCAGGTTGTCTATGAATTCTTCCTCAGATTCATTGAGAGTCAAGATTTCAGCACCAACATCGCCAAAGCATATATCGACCACCAATTTGTTTTGCAGGTAAGATTTCCTCCCCATGCCATGGCGTACAGTCGTTACAGAACTAATTCCTCTTCTAGCTACTTGAACTATTTGATTCTGAAGATCCCAGAGAGCGTGACTTTTTGAAGACGACATTGCATCGCATATACGGAAAATTCTTGAATCTACGCTCATATATCCGACGTTCAATCAATAACGTTTTCTTCCAATTTATCTATGAAACTGAACGATTTAACGGTATTGCTGAGTTGCTGGAGATTCTTGGCTCGATTATCAATGGCTTTGCGTTGCCACTCAAGGAGGAGCACAAGCTATTCTTGACGCGCGTTTTATTGCCAATGCATAAAGTTAAGAGTCTAAGCATGTACCATCCACAACTGGCATACTGTATTGTGCAGTTCCTAGAGAAGGATGCCGCCTTGACAGAAGAGGTATACTTCATTTCTTCTTCTCCTCTACTCAGTATTTAATACTAATATGTTGGCTCCCAGGTTGTTCTTGGCCTCCTTCGCTACTGGCCTAAAGTGAACAGTACGAAAGAAGTCATGTACTTAAATGAGGTCGAAGATATCTTTGAGGTTATGGAACCGGCTGAGTTCGTGAAGGTTCAAGAGCCTCTGTTCCACCAGCTTGCCAAATCAGTCGCCAGTCCTCATTTTCAAGTATGTTACTATCGCTGCAGTTAAAATAATAGGCTTGTGCTAATGGTGTTTCAGGTTGCGGAACGAGCGCTCTACTTTTGGAATAATGAGTACTTCTGTAACTTGGTCGGTGATAATGTGGAGGTCATTCTCCCGATCATGTTTGCACCTCTTTATGAGAATTCTCAAGGTCACTGGAACAGGTATGTCGGGTGCGATACCATTCTAATATAATACTTGTGCTGACGCTGTCGTCTACAGAACAATCCATAGCATGGTGTACACCGCTATGAAAATGTTCATGGAAATCAACCCACAGCTATTTGATGACTGCTCTCACGACTACCGAGAGTACCAAAATTCTGCTGAGGCACGAGAAAAGAGCCGGCAGGACAAATGGGATCGACTGGCTGAAATGGCAAAGGCCAAGCGAGAGAAAGTTGAACTTCCACCAGCAGAAGGCTCCAAGTCTTCTGATGCAGCCGGCTCAAATGACGGTCTAGATCCATTAACCCAAGACAACCAGCAGCGATTAAACGCGCTTAAACTGCAAGACGACACCACTGCCAGCAAGGAACGGCGGAGAGAGGGTCAAAACTCGGTTAGTGCCTCACGCGTTGATTAAGCATGGAACGGAACCCACGTACCTTGCCTTGCTTCGCTCTCCTGCATTGTTCTCTTCGCTTCTTTTTCTTGTGCACTGGTTGTATTGTAAAAATTTCCCCGTTGCCCCTTTCACTTTTTTATCCTTCTTTTAGAGATACTTTTTACCTTTCTTTTTTTTTGATATCTGCTTTTTATTTTTTATATTTTTTCTCTTCTGAGCCGGCGTGATCCTAACGTTAGACATACGTTTTGAATTCAGAGGCGTCGCCGTGGATCTATCGATGATTCTCGTGGTAGTGGTAGTGGAATGGCTGGGACAGGTCGGCGGATTGTGGTGGGAGAAGCTCGAAGGCGAGGGGAACGGCGAAGTTCGCTCGGCAGCAACAGCAGTCCTGGGCCTTCTCATGTTTCCGTTACTCGTAGCAACTCAACTAGCAAGAGCATGCGGTCTGTCTGAAGCAAAGGGGTGTACTTTTTTTCTTTTTTCCTTCTCGCCACCCAACAAAAGGCGGCATGGAAAAGCTCTTCTTTTACACACAGGTTCGGTACCAAATTATCCAGCGAATTTAGACTAATGATGATGCCCCCGTTTATCTCATTCCTCCTTTGAAACAGCCGTTTGAAACCGATTGGCATTCTTCCCAGTAATACTTCGTTTTCATGTCTTTGTGGCTATGGATTGGTTCAGGACCCTTTTCTGTTCAATACCTATTCCCCTGTATTTTGATCTTATACATTTCTGCTTCCTATTGATATTGCTTACCTATCTATCCACTTTCTGGATAGGATTCTGGCTTGGCTGGGCTGCTCGGAGGAACGCCTGGGACAAATGGGAGAAAAAATCAGGGTGCGGAAGGAGTTTTGGAGTGGGACACCTGGCCTTTATAATGTTGACTGGCAAATGAAGTATAAACCTGTCTTACAACTGCCTTGCTCCAGTTTTTCTCTTGGTCTTTATCTCTATCACCATTTGAATCATTTTCAATTTTTTCTTTGCCATCTCGGACTCTTCGCTTTTGCATCGTCAATTTGATAGCTGAAGGTTTGGGGAAAACTACTTCACACAGCAAGTTTGCACTTCAAGCAAACACATTACATCATTATTATATAATCATTACGCTAAACTTAATTAGGCTAAAGTAACGATGCCACTAGACCTCTTTGGACACTAGCGCAGATGAGAAGTTGCGGGCGCGATCCCCCAGGTCCAGATGGTCTCTAGAGAAATTCATTTAATTCTCTTATCAACATTCTTCACTTCAGTATCCAGGCCCTTGTCCCTCCACTCTGCCGGCCGCCCGACCCTCGTTACATCTTATTTTCCGGGCATATTCACACCGACGACCTCTCTAAACCTCTAATTCCTCCCCCGTCCCTTTTTTCACGGCCGCAAAACCTCCTACAGCCGTCTTCACAGGCTTCCAAATTGCTTATAGACCCTCCTCAAGCCTGTCGAGCTGGAGGATCAGGAAACTGTCGTCTTGTGGGCGCTGAAAGGATTTTAGCCGGCCTGAGGGCCTGGCACCCGGTTGATATCAAGGTCGATTGCCTCGGGAATGCCAATTCTGGCTGCGCGCAATCATGGAACGCGAATCGATTGAGCGAAACTTCGACGCCTACGTGACAAAACTAGGCGATCCAAACATTGGTTAGTGACCTGTATTCTGGAGGAGGACTTTTGCCATATCGGGCTATCGTTTGCTAACAGAAGTCACGCGCTATCATGTTGTAGAAACTAAATTAAAATGCGCGGCTGCGGTTGAGATCCGTGACTCCTTGGAGCATCTTTGCTCGGGCGCTACATACCCCATTTTCCTGGCGAAACTATGGCCGGCGTTCAAGAAAGTGCTGAAGGGGGAGCCGGTGTTTATCAGCTTATCATTTGAGCAGGTGAGTGAGGAGAACTTGTCCATGGGGAAGTGGTATACCCTTTCATAAAAGAGGAACTGACCAGGCGTACTTTGAACTTAGAAATTACGGAATTGTATCCTAGAGATCCTCCACCGCCTACCTCTAGAGCTTCCGGAAGTTGAGCCATATGCTGGTGACATGGTTGACCTGCTCATAGAACTTGTGCGAAATGAGAACGAGGATAATGCCATCATCTGTATGAAAACTATCATGGACCTCCAACGACGACAAATCAGGGCGACACAATCGCGAGTCCAGTCTTTTCTGGAGCTCATCCAAAACATGTTTGAAGGGATGCCACAGGTTGTGCGAGATACTTTTGATACCCCTCAAGCTCAGACCTCCACTCCTGGAATGCCTTCGACACCCAACACGGCTGCTCAGAACTTCCAGTCCCCACGCCCTAGTTCTCCGGCTACTTCTGTATCTGACCTGGGCCCCGAGCAGCAGCAAACAAATCAGATGTTAGCGAAGGGTATGCATTCGTTTAAGGTACTCGCGGAGTGCCCCATCATTGTTGTTTCGATCTTCCAGATCCACCGCCACCCTGTAACAACTAACGTGAAGGTATTTGTTCCTCTTATAAAGGGGATATTACTTCTTCAGGCACGGCCGCAAGAGAAGGCCCACAGCGAAGCCAGAGCGCAGGGGAAGATCTTCACCGGGGTCAGCAAAGATATCAAGAACAGAGCCGCCTTTGGGGAATTCATTACCCTGCAGGTCAAGACGATGAGTTTCCTTGCCTATCTACTAAGAGTTTATGCAAGCCATCTTCAGGACTTCCTTCCTTCTTTGCCTGGAGTCGTTGTTCGTTTGCTGCAAGATTGCCCCAGGGAGAAGTCTAGTGCGAGGAAAGAGCTCTTAGTCGCAATCCGCCATATCATCAATTTCAACTACCGCAAGATATTCCTTGAAAAGCTCGACGACCTCTTAGATGAGCGGACATTGATCGGCGATGGTCTTACGGTGTATGAGGCGCTCAGGCCACTAGCTTATAGCATGCTCGCCGACCTGATCCACCATGTTCGAGAATCCCTTACTCGGGACCAAATCCGCCGCACTCTCGAAGTTTACACTAGGAATCTTCATGATGATCTCCCAGGAACAAGCTTTCAGGCAATGAGCGCGAAGCTCCTCCTCAACATGGCCGAGAAAATAGCTAGCATGGAGAATAAGAAGGAGGCGCGGTACTTCCTCATCATGATTCTGGATGCTATTGGGGACAAGTTCGCTACCATGAACTATCAATACAACAATGCGGTTAAGGCATCGAAGCTCGTCAAGCAGAATGCAGATAATTTGTCAGAAGGATACCTTGCTGATAAGAACCATCCTCCGGACTGGGACGAGATTGACATATTCACTGCAGCACCGATCAAAGCCACCAACCCCAGAGATAGGAATGCCGACCCTGTCAATGATAATAAGTTTTTGTTTAAAACTCTTATTACTGGTTTGAAGGGTCTGTTCTATCAGCTAAAGAGCTGCAATCCAGAGGATCTAAAACTAGATCCATCGTACACACCTGTTAACTGGGCGGAAGTTTCATTCGGATACAACGCTGAAGAAGTCCGTATCATTAAAAAACTCTTCCACGAAGGCGCGGGACTTTTCAGGTATTATGGTGCGGATAGCAAGGAGCCTGAAATTCAATATGCAAGCCCTCTTGAGTTTCTCTCTAGCCAGTATATGCGGCACATGAGCTCTGAGGAAAAGGAGCTTCTTGAAAGCTTTGGGACTATCTTTCACTGTGTTGATACTGCGGCATTCCATGAAGTTTTCAAGAGCGAGATTCCCTATTTGCACAGCCTTATGCTGGAGCACAGTGCACTGCTCCATCTCCCACAATTCTTTCTCGCGAGCGAAGCCACTTCTCCTGCCGTTGCTGGGATGACTCTACAGTACTTGATGGAACACATCCACGAAGTTGGGTCTGCGGATGTTGCCAACTCCCGCATTCTCTTGAGAATGTTCAAGCTTTCCTTCATGGCTGTCACACTGTTTTCGGCACAAAATGAACAGGTACTTCATCCGCACGTCACCAAGATTGTGGCCAAGTGCATTGAATACTCTGTAACTGCAGAAGAGCGGATGAATTATTTTCTGCTTCTCAGATCACTTTTCCGAAGTATTGGAGGTGGGCGCTTTGAGTTACTCTACAAAGAATTACTGCCATTGCTGGAGATGTTACTAGAAACTTTCAATAATCTTCTACTTGGCGCTAGGAAGACACAAGAGCGTGATTTATATGTGGAATTGACACTGACTGTCCCGGCACGACTTAGCCACTTGCTTCCATATCTAAGCTATCTCATGAGGCCGTTAGTTGTTGCTCTCCGGGCAGGGTCAGATCTTGTCAGCCAGGGCCTTAGAACACTCGAACTCTGTGTTGACAACCTGACTGCCGATTACCTGGATCCAATTATGGCTCCGATAATGGACGAGCTTATGACTGCTCTCTGGGATCATCTCCGACCAAATCCTTACAGCCACTTCCATGCCCACACCACGATGAGAATCCTTGGGAAGCTTGGTGGGCGAAATCGAAAATTCCTTAATCACCCTCCTGAGCTCTCGTTCCAACAATACTCTGATGATACACCGAGCATGGATATCAAACTTATTGGGTCTAATAAAGATAGAGCTTTTCCTCTCGATATCGGAATTGACCTCGCCCTCGGGAAGTTACTTGACACTCCTCCAGCCAATGCATCCGAGACCGTGCAGAAGGCAGATGTGTTCTACAAGAAGCAAGCGTACCGCATGCTTAGCTCTCAGCTCAAACTATACATTGGTTTCGAGCATCCACCCGATGATCTTGCAACACTTCTACGCCTCCAGGCAAACGACCTAGCAGATGGGAAGTTCTCTGGGACAGTGGACATCTTGGAAAGGTCTGATCGTCAATGCTCTTCCTCAAAGAGACTTGCGCAAGAGACTACCCTCAAGAAGTTATTGAAGGCTTGCATAGTTGCATCTACAATCCCGCATTTGAAACAATCTGCAACCGCCTTCCTAGCTGATGTTTGCCGCCATCTTACCATTATTGAAATCGGAAGGTCTCTGGCACAATCACGGCATATTCGTCGTCCTTTCAGCGTGTCGCTGGGCGAGGGCCCCTTGTATCTGGATACAAGGACTCTTGCTGATGCTGTAGTCGAATGTTTAGCCTCTGAAAATCCCGCGGTTCGTGACGCCGCTAAAGGGGTTATCTTCAACGTCCGAAGTGCCTCCGTTGTTATATTCGGCTCTGCAGAGAAGGCAGGAAAACTCCCATTCTTCCCCCATCTCGGTAGAACGCTTTGCCATGCTTGTCATGATGAGGAGTGGTTCACAAAGGCTGCTGGAAGCCTTGGTATACATCTTTTCGTTACGGAACTGGACTTGGGAAACGCTTGGTTGATCGACCGGCAAGTTGAATTCATTCGAGCCCTGATGTATGTGATTAAAGACACGCCATCTGATTTCCCTGGAGCGACTCGAATCCAAGCCCAAAAGACAATGGACTTGATTCTCCGGAAATGCAACGAGGGCGTTTCCAAAGAGGAACTGAAAAACGAACGGGGTCGAGTGTTGGCCTTGTGCGGCGTATTGAGCTACGAACTATCCCATATGAACAAACATGTTCGTCAAGCTGCCCAGAGTGGAATAGCGACTCTAGCAGCAACGTTAAACGCGGAAGTTCATGAGCTGATTACTCCCGTCAAGGACCGACTTTTGATGCCAATATTCAACAAGCCACTCCGTGCTTTACCCTTCCCTACTCAGATTGGCTGTATCGAAGCGATAGCGTACTGCCTCGGTCTTCGTCAGAACATTGTCACATTTAATGATCAGCTCAACCGTTTGCTAATGGAATCTCTGGCCCTTGCCGACGTGGATGATGATGCCCTAGCATCCAAACCAAACGAGTTCAAGACTGCTGAGCAGATCGTTAACCTTCGTGTCTCCTGTCTACGTCTTCTGTCAATGGCCATGGGTTTCCCCGACTTTGCAAGCGGTCCGCAGAGCCATAGCCGCGCTAGAATCATTGCTTGTTTTTTCAAGTCGTTGTATTCGAGATCCCCTGAGATCATTGAAGCAGCAAACTCTGGCCTTCGTGATGTACTCACCCAGACTAACAAGCTGCCTAAGGACCTACTTCAGAACGGCCTTCGACCAATTTTGATGAACCTTCAGGACCCCAAACGTTTGAGTGTTGCTGGTTTGGATGGATTAGCTCGCCTCCTCACCCTACTGACGAACTATTTCAAAGTTGAAATAGGATCACGACTTCTGGACCACATGAGAGTCATTGCTGATGAGAACATCTTGCAAAGAGCATCTTTCGGGCTTGTTGAACAGAATCCTCCCATGAAAATTGTTGCTGCTATCTTTAACATTTTCCACCTTCTTCCTGCAGCTGCGACCTCATTCATGGAGAACCTTGTTAACAAAGTCTTGTACTTGGAAGATCGGTTGAGACGGACATCTAGCAGCCCTTTCAGAAAGCCATTACTCAAATATCTCAATCGATATCCCCGAGAGAGCTGGATTTTTATGCAGGCCAAGTTCCAAGAAGAAAAACACGGGAGATTCTTCGGTCAGCTCCTAGCAAGCCCTGAGAGTTCAGCATTGCGTTCAACCATTTTTGCGGATTCCGAAACATTAATAAAACTTGCCTTCCTACAAGAAGAATCTCCCCGCAAAAATACCGCGGCAATCAATGGAATATACTTTGTCCATTCGATTTGCTCTCATGAAGCTACTAAAGGATTCTTGAATGCCCAGCCTGACTTGAAGCGACACCTCTTGAACAGTGGCCGAGACTTGAATTCTAAGCTACGCAATGACAGGCTCCCTCCAGACGAGCGGTTAAGAGTCGAACAAGCCCAAGATCAGTTGTTGGAAATATTCACAATTCATCTTTCGCAGTCCCTTGACGACCTTGATTTCCTGTTCGATCTTATCGACAAGATATCTGCCGGTGACTTGAAAACAACTCTTACGTTGCCAAAATTTTTCTACCAGTACATAATCACAAACTCATCCATTGCTTACCGGAGGTCCGTAATTTCTCGCTGCCTGGATCTTTACAACCAGCGTACCTCGTCCCAGAAATTGAAAACTTACGCCTTCCATCATCTTGTTAATCCCATACTTGCTATGGATGTGAAGAATACCTGGGACAGCCCAACCCCTGGTACGGGAGTTCTAGATCGGAGTTTGACCGATCTTATCCACAATCGACTATGGAAACCACAGCTGGGCGATCTTAGTGAAGAATCTGGTCAGCCTGGGATAGACCATTCCCGCATGGAGCTTCTTCAGCTTTCTGCATTGCTTATAAAATATCATCATGGCATCGTTCAAGAAAGTAGAAAAGACATCATAAAGTTTGCATGGAGCTACATTCGCCTCGAGGATACCATCAACAAGTACGGAGCATACGTACTAATCAGTTATTTCATTGCACATTATGAAACACCTTCCAAGATTGTCGTCCAAATCTATGTCGCTTTGCTGAGAGCTCATCAGAATGAGGGGAAATCTCTAGTCACCCAGGCATTGGAAATCCTGGCGCCTTCTCTTCCAAAGAGAATTCTCTCTGGCCCTGACCCTCGTTTCCCAGTGTGGGCCAGGTGTCCTCGTCGCATTCTAACGGAAGAGACAGCGAACTTACAGCAGGTCATGAGCATTCTGCAATTCCTTGTCCGACAGCCCGATCTTTTCTATGAGTCCCGCGAATACTTCATCCCTCTCATAATCCCGTCACTTGTCAAGATTGCAGGACCAACCAATGTCTCTTTTGATAGCAGAAAACTCGTTTTACACTTGATCAACCTTATTTGGATCTGGGAAGAGAAGCGAGTGACTGGATGGCGAGACCCGACTTCACCAAACTCAGCGAAACGAAAATTGGCCGAGATGCAGGCGTCGCCATCAATGAGTACCACGCCACTCCCGCAGAAAGAGCGTCCAGAATACACCATCCCCCTCGACTTGAGGACGCCCCTTATCAAGTACCTTGTTACCTTTGTCTGCAGTCTTGTTGATCGCTTCTCTGTACCTGCAGCGCGGTTCCGCGATCTACTGCCACCAAAGCCTCACCAAGCGCTGAATAACTATGGTGAAATTTGCAAGAAATCAGTGGTTTTGCTCCGACGATTCCTCTCTTCTGATTACTGGCCTGATGTGGATATTGACCTTTATCAAAAAACCCTAGAGCCTGTTTTGTGCAGCGAAAAGGCCGAGAAACCCGACGAAAAGCATGTTACGGCCATGGTCAACTCGCTCCAGGTTCTACGTATTCTCTTGGCCGGAAAACCGAACAGCTGGATTCTGGACCGCATGTCTACCATCCAGCATCTTGTGGAAAAGGCTCTACGATCCGATAATCCTGAAATCCAGGATTGTTTACATGGCGGCGAAGAGGAGATGGACATCTCTCCAAAGTTACCACCGCCCATCAAGAGAGTTTTGGATGCCCTGCCACAAGAAGAGCCAGTGGAAGAAGAAGGTGGTATGGATGTTGATAAGCCGTCCGCTGAATTTGTAACCTTTCTCTCAACGGTCGCCACTGAGTCAATCTCGAGCGGCAATTATATCGCTGGAATTAATATTCTCTGGACACTTTCGAAATGTCAACCTGCGGAGATGGACCAGCACATACCCCATGTCATGAAGATTTTTTCACAAAAGCTTGCGAAGGACCACGTCACTGCTTCCAACAATAACCCACCCGTAGCAAATCGGACCGCAGAACAACAGGCACAATTACCCGACCCCTATGAAGTAGAAATTGGCATCGATTTGATCTCGAAAACCATCGATTTGATCGCCGTTCGGATGTCAAACTTGGGTGACCAGAGGAGGCCTTTCCTGAGTGTGTTGGCGCAATTGGTTGAGAGGTCCCAGAATATTCCCCTTTGTACCAAGATTCTAGGGATGGTAGAGAAATGGATCTTCCAGCCCACGGAATCGTGGCCTACATTGAAAGAGAAAACAGCTGTTCTCCATAAAATGCTGCTTTTTGAATCGAGGACCGACTCAACAATGCTTGGGAAGTTTTTGGAGCTTGTCATTCGAGTCTATGAAGACCCCAAGATCACACGAACCGAGCTCACGGTCAGATTAGAACATGCTTTCCTAATTGGTACTAGGGCTCAAGACGTTGACATGCGAACTCGTTTCATGTCAATTTTTGACAAAAGTTTAACACGTTCTGCCAACACTCGCCTGAGCTACGTTCTGACCTCACAGAACTGGGATACCCTTGCGGAGTCATTCTGGCTCACGCAAGCTTCGCAGCTGGTGATGGGATCAGTGGATATGTCTGCATCAGTCAAGCTACACCCAGATGACTTCACAATTCCTCCTACATCTTTCATATATGGACATTCTGAGAAAGATCCAGCTAAGGAGAATGTTGTAGTCGATAACCACCTGGAAGCTCTAGTGGCAGAACAGAAGAAATTCTCTGCGGAACTTGGGGATGTTAAAGCCCGCGATATTCTTGAGCCACTCACAGAGCTTCAGCACGCGGATCCTGAAGTTGCGTACAAAGTCTGGGTTAGCTTATTCACGATCTGCTGGGCCTCTTTGACACGAGACGAGCGAATTGATCTGGAAAAGGGGATGGTATCACTTCTCACGCGCGAATACCACCATAGACAAATTGACGAACGGCCTAATGTTGTGCAGGCGCTTCTTGAGGGCGTTATTAGAGCCAGTCCTCGCTTCAAGATACCTCCTCACGTCATGAAGTTCCTCAGCCGCACGTTTGATGCATGGTATATGGCTGCTATAGCTCTTGAACGGTATGCGATTGATCCGGTTATTGACACGCCGGTGGTTCGAGAGAGCAACTTGGACGCTCTTGTTGAAATATATGCTGGCTTGCAGGAAGATGACATGTTTTACGGTACCTGGAGAAGGCGCTGCAAATTCGTCGAGACTAATGCTGCTCTTTCTTATGAACAACAAGGGATGTGGGATAAATCACAACAATTGTACGAATCAGCTCAGGTAAAGGCACGCACCGGTTCTATTCCGTTCGCTCAAGCCGAGTACTTCCTTTGGGAAGATCATTGGATGATTTGCGCACAAAAGCTCCAACAATGGGATATCCTGACCGATTTTGCCAAACACGAGAATTTCAACGACCTACTTCTGGAAGCCACTTGGAGAAACCTGGAGAATTGGCAAGGTGACACCAATCGTGAACAAATTGACTCTCTTCTAAAGTCGGTTTCGGATGCACCCACTCCACGTCGCACCTTTTTCCAGGCCTTCATGTCCTTATTAAAATTCCATACGAAACAAGAGACTTTACAGGAGTTTAATAATGTTTGTGATGAATCTATTCAACTGTCGATTCGGAAATGGCACCAGCTTCCAAAGCGGATCACCAACGCCCACATTCCTATCTTACAGAATTTTCAACAACTTGTTGAGCTTCATGATGCCAGCGTTATCTGCACCAGCCTTTCGCAGACGAATGAGCGCAACATGGATACAAAATCGGCCGAACTGAAACTCCTTCTTACCACATGGCGAGATAGACTACCCAATGTATGGGATGATATCAATGCCTGGCAGGACCTTGTCACTTGGCGACAACATATCTTCCAACTTATTAATTCTACATACCTTAGCCTTCTCCCTCCTCAGACCAACAATGTGGCAAGCAATTCGTACGCCTTCCGAGGCTACCACGAGACTGCCTGGATAATCAACAGATTTGCCCATGTTGCACGGAAACACCAGATGCCGGAAGTATGCATCAATCAACTCAGCCGAATCTACACCTTACCCAATATTGAGATTCAAGAAGCCTTTTTGAAGCTGAGAGAGCAAGCAAAGTGTCATTATCAGAACCCGAAGGAGCTGAATAGTGGACTAGAGGTCATCAACAACACCAATCTCAACTACTTCAATGCACAGCAAAAGGCAGAATTCTACACCCTGAAGGGTATGTTTTTGGCGAAATTGGACCATAACATGGAGGCAAACGAGGCATTTGGCGTAGCTTTATTCTACGACTTACGTTTGGCTAAGGCTTGGGCCGAGTGGGGCCAGTACAGCGATCAACGATTCAAAGCTGATCACTCAGATATTGATCAGGCTTGCAATGCAATAAGCTGCTACCTGGAAGCCGCTGGCCTGTACAAAAACCACAAATCTAGGAAGCTCCTCAGTCGTATCCTCTGGTTGTTAAGCCAAGACAACGATGAAGGGAAAATTGCAAGTGCGTTTGAGAATTTCAAGGGGGATACTCCTGTTTGGTACTGGATTACCTTCATACCTCAGCTACTTTCAAGCCTTGCACACCGGGAAGCTAGGCTATGCAAGGCAGTTCTCGGGAAAATTGCCAAGTTGTATCCTCAGTCACTTTTCTTCTTGCTCAGGACCAGCCGCGAGGATTACCTAGGCCTCAAGAAGTCACAAGAGCAAAAACAAGAAAAGCTCAATCGTGCAAAAGTCTCGGGATCTCCAACAACAAAGAGCGGTTCCCCAGAAGCCAAATCTTCTATGCTTCCAGATGCTGCAGCGTCCTCGAGCTCACCGAGGGCTGTAGCGTCTCCCAAGCCAACGCCCCCCGTGGCAAACGGACAGACTGCTAATGAAGGTGACGCGGCTCAAAAAGATAAACAACCTTGGGAATATGCCGATGAAACAATGGCAGGTCTCAAAACAGCTTTCCCTCTACTTGCCTTGACCATGGAGACTATGGTGGACCAGATACACAAGAATTTCAAATGCCCACCTGATGAAGATGCTTACAGACTTATTGTTGCTCTACTCAATGATGGCCTTGCATATGTGGGCCGTATGCCTACATCGTATGCACAAGACTGCAAACTTCCACATTCTACCGAAGCAAATATCACCCGTTTTGCAGAAACCATTCTTCCTGCACACATTCGAAAGTCATTCGAGGCTGATTTTGTCACCAAGAAGCCAACCATGTACGAGTACATCCATAAGCTGCGACGATGGAGGGACAAGTTTGAAGAGAAACTGGACCGCCGGCCACAATATGCCCACTTGGAGTCATTTTCGTCTCACCTTAGCGAATTCAAGTTCATGAAATTTGATGAAGTTGAAGTTCCTGGACAATATCTTGAACACAATGACAAGAACCAAAATTTTGTCCGCATTGATCGGTTCCTCCCCCATGTTGATCTAGTGCGTGGAATTGGTGTATGCCATCGTCGTTTGAGGATTCGTGGCCATGATGGCAGCCTACACACGTTTGCTGTCCAACATCCTGCAGCCCGCCACTGTCGTCGGGAGGAGAGAATGCTTCAGCTATTCCGAATTTTCAACTGTGTATTAAGGAAGCGTAAGGAAAGCCGTCGACGTAACATTTACTTCCACCTTCCACTCATGGTTCCTTTTGCACCGCATATCCGCTTGGTCAAGGACGACCCATCCTACGTCTCTTTGCAGGGTATATATGAAGACCATTGCCGCCAGACTGGAATGGCCAAAGACGAGCCAGTTCTATTCACAATGGAGAAAATGCGAGCTCTTGCAGAAGCAAAAGCAAATGTAAGTGTATCAAGTGTGGACAATCCAAATCTAACTTCAGCTAACTCTTGTCAGCGGGCCCCCGAGCAGGCTGGAATCCTTCGTACCGAGATCTTTGACGCTATCCAAAAGAAATGGGTCCCCAACACTATTCTTCTGCAGTATGTCCAGCAGACGTATCCAAACTTTGCAGACTTCTGGCTCTTCCGACGACAATTCTCGTACCAGTATGCTGCGATAGCCTTCATGACTTACGTGATGCATATGGGCAACCGATACCCAAGCAAGATACATATCTCTCGACGGACAGGCGATATCTGGAGCTCCGAGTTGATCCCAGCAATGAACTCTGCGAGGGCTATATTTTACAACCCAGAACAGGTTCCCTTCCGGTTAACACCCAACATCCAAACGTTGATGGGTCCGTTGACAACCGAAGGCATATTCGCTTGTGCTATCATGGCTATCGCTCGCTGCCTCACTGAACCAAGACTCGAATTGGAACAGCAACTCAGCATATTTGTACGGGATGAGCTTGTGATGTGGGCAAGCGCGCAGCAGCGTGTTCTCCAGCAGCTTAAAGATATGGTGCAGAGCAATATCGACTATATTGTGAACCGAGCAGCCAGCTTGACAAGTTCTCCAGACGGAAATCTTCCTGCAAACCAGTCGGTTATTGACCTCATTTCTCGGTCTGTCAATCCTCACAACCTTGCCCAGTGTGACGCTTTATGGATGGCATACGTGTAATCTCGTTTGACCCGCTTCCATCATCTCCAACCTTTTTCTCTTCGTCTATTGTATTATTGGTGATATGTGATTTCTGTTGTTATTCTCTTATTTATCTAAATCTCTTGCGTCTTGCGGGCTGTCTAATATGGCCTCGCTCATCGACACTGCAAAGAAAGAAGGGTTAAGCATGGCGTTCTTCTGGAAGAAAAGGAGGCTATTCATGTTTTTACGTTTCGTTTGAGTTTTGATACTGTGATGCACTTGTATGATTTATTCCAACTGGCATTAGGCCAATTTCCTCCGTCGCAATAAAAAAATATGTAGTTAATCAAATTAATCAAGTTAATGAACGCTTCGCCAGAGTACCTTCATCACTAACGCCGGAGATGATGCATGTAAATATTAAACAAGGGGACCTTTCTTTTTTATACCCAATCCTGCAGAAAACGGCTTTTTTGCCTTCTTCACTCGCTTAAACGAGGGAGGGGGCATTTCAGTTGGAGCTGCGGTATCTTGATCATCATCGTCAACAAGCCGTTTGACTCGATTGCCGTCATCGGTCATAAAAGCCCTTTTAGCTGCCTCTTCAATCTCTTTGTCCTCCCTGGCTTTCGCCTCTTCAGCCTCTGTCTTCGCCCTCTGCAGAGCCAACTCTTCTCCTCCTCCACGCTCCCCCCTCTCTATTCTTGCGTTCCTCGATCGTATTTCATCCAGAGCATCTGCTACTGCCATTTCCCGCTTAGAATCCTGCATCTTCTCCTCTAGCTCTAGCATTTTATCTCTCTCTTCTCGCTCAAGCTCCTCATTTTCTTCCCGTTCGAGACGATCTAGCGTTTCATCATGTGTTTCGCTCACTTCCTCGCTTTTCGCCTGACGCCACGGTTCAAAATTTCTTTTAGCTCCTCGTTCACAGACATAATCCATGTTCTTAGGGTCTGTCTTAAATGTGATCTCGCTCGAGCATCGGGTACATCTGATATAGAACCGGTATATTGTAATGTTGAGGTATTTCTCATCAGTGGTTTCCTTCCGCGCATTAAACTTGCGGCCCTTATATATGTATTCACCACAATTAGTGCACTTTAAACTGAACGGCGCCATCAGACGGACTGTCAGGAGCTTAGATCCTGACGCCCGTAGATGCTTGGGAGTTCGGGTGATGAGTGACGGATCAAAATCCGGTGGGTAGTACTTGGTAAGGACCTTTCGTTCAGACATTTTGGCGGCTGTAGATGTACAATATCGGTAAGTATTCGATGTGAATAGCTTTCTTGAGCTTCGCTTTTGGCGTTAAAAGATTCTGAGCTTGCGACTTTGATATCTCGACGTTGAATCTGAAAAAGAATATGGATAAAGCCTTTTTGATAGCTCACGTGATTTTATTTATCTGAAGCTTCTTATTGGTTAGTTCATTTGTGAGGCTGAATTACATAAGCATACAAATGTTTTTTGCCAGTCGCGAATGTCAACAACACACAAAGCAAAGAGGCATCAGAGGACGGCGAGGGATAGAACGAACTGTTATATCGTCTTCGAAGTGAATGTGTCATATAAGCGGGCGATTATTGTCTTGTATTCAAAAGTGACCTCCCGGATACCCTTTCTTCTATTCCTGGAAAACGAACACCGAGCACCAGTGCAATGTCAACGAGCTCTCACCGGTGAATTACAAACAGCCATGGAGGAGTTTTTACGCAACTGGAGGCAAGATGCCTTGAATAAAGGGCAATATGATTCGGCGGTATATATCGGTGATAAAGTGCTTGCTTTGACCAGTACGCGCAATAATTCCATATACAGCTACCTGAGAGCCGCCGGGGCTAACTTCGAACAAAGATAGTGATAACGACGCATATTGGCTTGCTCAAGTACACTTTTCAAACAACAACTACACTCGAGCCTTAGCGCTTCTATCTACGAAAGATCTCATCTCTCGGAACTCATCATGTCGTTACCTTGCTGCCCATTGCTATATCAAACAAAACAAATTCGATCTTGCGCTATCCATACTTGGAGAACACAACCCAACCCACCTGATTCAGAGTGTCAGCCGACGAAAAAAGCCGCATTTGAATGGCAGCTCCCATGTCACCCTTAGGAACGGACGCTCTATACCATCTCGCACGGATAAGAGCGATACGGATGCGTACCAGGATGCCAACCATATTAAATATGAGGCAGCCATGTGTTATCTACGAGGGTGTTGCTATGCAAATCAAAATGCTTTTGACCGTGCGAGAGACTGCTATAAGGATGCTGTACGGATTGATGTACAGTGCTTCGAGGCATTTGATCGGCTTATGAGAAACTCGCTTATGTCCCCAGCCGAAGAACTCGAGTTTCTAGAATCACTGGACTTCGACTCAATAACCCCATCCTCAGATGTCTCCCTTTCTCAGGAAGCATCAGAATTCACGAAGTTGCTGTATACAACTAGGCTGTCAAAATACTCGTCCTGCTCTGCATTGTCTCATGCCATAGAGACTCTCTCCACTCACTATAACCTCGCAGATAACTCAGACCTCCTCCTCTCTCGCGCAGAAACGCTCTACACTCAGTGTCGGTTTCCGGAAGCGCTTTCTTTAACCTCATCGATTCTCTCCGCTTCGGATTCAATGTCCGCATTAGTATCTCAGGGAAGTCAAAGTCAAAATCTTGGGCATTCCCCATCAGTCTACCCCCTCCATCTTGCCTGTCTCTACGAAACGGGCGCTACAAATGCTCTGTTTCTCCTCGCGCATACTTTATCAGATAATGTTCCAGAGGAGCCATATACCTACCTTGCCATTGGTGTTTATTATCTCTCAGTCTCGAAGATTGCTGAGGCAAGGCGATTCTTCTCCAAGTCTTCCCTCCTTGACCCTCACTCGGCGCCAGCTTGGATTGGATTTGCGCATACCTTTGCTGCAGAGGGTGAGCATGACCAAGCTATTGCAGCCTATAGTACTGCTGCTAGACTATTTCAAGGGAGCCACTTACCCCAACTTTTCCTAGGAATGCAGCATCTGGCATTGAATAATATGGCTCTAGCACATGAGTATCTGTCTGCTGCATACTCCATGTCTTCGGGCTCCCCCCCAACTAGCAATACTCTCTCCTTAAACGTCAATTTTGCTGGAGAACCGCCTGTTTCCGGACCCTCTGGTGGAGATCCTCTAGTGCTTAACGAGCTTGGAGTCGTCTTATATCACGAAGCTAACCTGGAAGACGCTGTTCACCTCTTCCGGCAAGCTTTAGCATTATCTGTTTCCCTAGAATGTGACCCTAGTGCTTGGTTGGCAACCCGGGCAAACTTGGGTCATGCGCTTCGTCGACTAGGAAAATTGGAAGAAGCGTTGTCCGAGTTTGACGAGTGCCTTCGTATAGGTGCCGGTGGTTCAACAACAATTTACACGGGTTATACAGGCAGAGCAGGGGCTGGTGCAGTCAGGTCTGCTGGTGCGTCCGCTGTGGGAGGTTACGAAGACAGAGGTCTAATAGGATCCTTCCACACAGCCCGTGGTATAATATTATTAGAAATGGATCGGACGACTGACGCTGTTACAGCATTGCATGAAGCTGTACGAGTACTAGGTACTACTGGCGGGGATGCAGCAGCTGGTGCTGGAGTTGCAGGCACCTTACTTTCAAAAGCTCTCGAAGTTTGGGCTGTCGAGGAAGAGAGCAGAGTAGTGTCGTTCCAAGACACAAGTAAGGCACGCAAAGGAAAATATTCTTCAGCCAATTCCTATAATGAAAAATCAAGGCATAGGTCTACAGCCAAAGGAACCAAGAAGTCAACGACTGTAGATGAATGGACAGATGATGTTCCTGACCGACCATCATCTAGCGGACCGGATGCCCAAAACATCGGCATGGAACTTGATGGAGAGGCCAATATTTTACTTGAGCACGCCCTAGGGAAGGCGGGATACCCGGTACCTCGTGTTATGCCCAGAAATCCTGGGTCTAGCCCTGCTCATGAAACGCGGCCTCGTTCTGATATACCAGAACCGACTCGTCTCCGGTCGACCAGGACAACTCGAAGGCGAAGTCCTCCTCAGAGAGGCCCTGGTGGATGATGATATATTATGCCAGCCACTTTCTGAGCATGGACTAATACTGTTGGAGCAGTGCCAAAAACGCATTTTTATGAATTGCTAAACTTATGAATATGAACTTACTGATGATGCATGGCGGTATATCCTGTCTCGCTACTTCAATATCGATCCCTGTCTACCGTTAACAGCCCAGTTAACTTATCTGTTCCCTGATCACCACTAATTATGGGGCATCATTATAAAAACTTATAGAGAGGATGCAACAATATATTGGTCTGCATACCATATTCAAGCTCCGAATCCCGCTAATATAGAAATCCCTTGAAATACATGCGTTAGAGACATGCCTGTGACTTCGTGGCCGGGCAGAAAAGATAAAAACAAGTATCAACGCCAAAGAACTCCAGGTTCCGTTGCGGGATAAATGAAAGACAGGATATATATATCCGTCGCTCTTCAGAATAAAAATATAATGACGAGTGCAGTATGTTGCAAGTTGATATTGCACAGAGATAACCATAATAAAAACTAACCTGAAAGATCATGGCCATAAGGGTGGATCTATGTACTCTGCTGCGCGGTCAACCAGGGTTGGGAAACTCCAATCTCCACTGGCAGAGCTCTCTGGGGTAGGAGGTGGAATCGAGCCAGATCTTGTAGAGGCAGCAACCGAGGCCCCTACACCTCCCGTAACGGGTTGAGTGTATATTGGAGCAGGATTGAAGCCGCTAACAGACCCAGTGATCACACCATGCTGCCTGAGGTGTACCAACAATGCTGCATTTAACTTTTGAAGGGCACGTAGGGATTTGATTAGCGGCTTGGCCCATTGAGTTTCCGTGTCTGTGGGTATATCCGTGGCTTGTTTATTCGGGGCCACCGCGGCAGTGGGATCATAAGCACTCTCTAGAGATCCCATGTTTGATGAACCTGCGGCGAAAGTAGGGGAACTCTCAGCTCCAGCTTTCGGACTCATCGGTGAGATGTCGTCTTCTTTTGCACGTTCTGTAAGAACACCCTCTAATCGCCGGAGTAAAGTCCAGATATTAGGGTCGGTCTTGGATTCGCCAACAACGGCCAGTAAAAAGGCGCTACTAATGGCCCGCTGAAGGCCAATCCATGATCGAGCAGCTTGGCGGTTCACTGAGTACATCTCGACGTACGCTTCTACCGTCCGTGATAGAGCAGCAATGCAATCTTTTCGTAGTGCAATAGTTGTAGCATCGTTGAGATCGGCATTTGGCCTTAATGAGGGGCGACAGATCTCTGATGTAAGGTACGAGGAGTGTAACTTTAGGCCCAGTCTCTCAATATTCTGGTTAGACGAGACACAGCATAAAGGATCACGAAGATAGGGCGCTGTATCGGCCAATATTCGTTTGAGTTCCGACCTGCATGTCTGTATCGTGGAAAACGGAACCTGCGAGCCTGTTGAGAGCATGCGACTTTTAACTATATTTAAGGTTAAGGCTATAAGTTGGCAGATAGTTTCAAAGAAAGATCTCTTTCCAGGCTGCGAGTCTGGATGATAGGGAATATCTGGGTGGCTAAACGCCATTGCAGATGGTCTGTCGTATGATAGCGAGAAGTGACTATCTTGCCACGCAGTTGCCCACCTGTAAAGGTCCAATTAGCAAAACACCTTATATATGTACCAGCACTAAGTCCTGGGACTATATTCAACTTACCATACAACCCGTCTGGCATACTGCTGAGCGGGTGAGAATTTATGCGACTCAACTTGGAGACCGAGAACCATGCCCATTCGATGGCTCATTCCTGGAGAAGTCAGTTAAAAGCTTTACAGATTAAAGTAACCAAACGACAAAATACACATACCTAAAAGTATATATGATACCCCAGGATTCATATTATACGAAAGAACATTCCCAATGATTAAGAGAGTCTGTATTGCGTCCAAAGTTGGTCGGGATACGAAGTTCGTTGCTCGTAAAAATTGATAAGCACAGCAAACTAGGAGGGAATTTAGTAACCCAACTTATGTAGCTAGTGAACACAATATCATACGTACCATATACCTGGGAAGTCAATTCACGTTCCTTTCCTGGCATATCAGACGACTGGCAGCCTGCGGCTAGCACAGCGAATAGCAAGCCCACAAACGCTGTGGGCATACCAAAGGGCTTACTCAATTCATCACCGTCATGTTCGCTAATCCCAAAAGCAGCCCTGTTCCGAAGACATAGCTCTAAGTTCTCCTCAAAGCAATCAAGATCAGAAAGTACAGGATAGATTAATGCCGCAATGTCACGGTAGTACTTGAACAGTCTAGGTTACCTTGTTAAAAACGGGATTTTCCCAAGTATTAAACATGATCATTGCTTACCTGCGGCACTGTTTATCATCTGGGATAGCAGCACAAACAGACCTGATGTCGTATGTGGTTGAATCAGAGGACCAGAGGTCGATAAATGGATATGTAGCAGTCTCATTGTCCAGACCTAACTTCGGAAGTATGCCGCCCTCCAGTAATGCTTGAGTGGCCTCCTTGGGAGATCCTCCAAGCAAATAAGCAAGAACTGATCTAGATCCCAGATGAACAGTCCCGCCTCCGTACACATTTTTTGTATGAATTCCTTCACGATCCGATAAGGGCTCGTCACGAGGGAGGCGGGCCTGTTCACTAAGAGGCTCCGGTGACACCAATGCAGTACTGTCAACCTTTTCCATTTCCATTCGAAGTGAAGACATGGCACGCTCCATATCTTTCAATTTTGAACAAACGCTCTCCCACTCAGCCCGTGATATCGATACTCTCTCCTGCTCAGCCGCCATACTATGCATTTCAACGTCTCCAACCGAGACATTTCCAGAGCCCTCAAGATTTTTCGACATGTCCTCGGAGTCATGGGGAGGAGGGGTATTCACATGGCGCTTTTTGGAGGGGCGTTCATAGGAGCATAGATCTGCATGGTCTCGTTTTACACACCCGTCGCAGGGCAAGTTGCGATCGCATTTCACCTTTCGAGTGTGACACGGGTAGCATGCCTTCGGTTCGCGCACTTTTCTCTTCGTACGGATTATGGCGTCAATCTCGGACTGGGGGAGGTGGGAGACGGGCGTTGTTGAAGACATGGTTAAGGAGCGTTCCTTCGGGGCGTCTTGGAGGGCTGAAAGTGGGTTCAATGCAACGATTCCGGGCACGGAGCTCAGGGATTCAGCGACTAGAGCTGCTAGTACTACCGATTGAGAACAAACGCCATGGCGACGGGTGGTCGGGAACAATGATTATCTCTCCGCTGTCGCAGCCGGTCTGCAACGAGAAATGTCGAGCCGTCAATTCCTCTCGCCGTCGATAAGTTGGATCCATAGATATAGCTTAGTCAGCAGCCTCACCCCGTCGGATAAAACGGACCGGAGACGTCACTTAGGTAAGCATCCATCCATGCTTTGATCTGCATAAAAAGAACGAACGAGCCATAACCAACTAACGACAACGACGATAACGACGGCAACGACGGCAATGACGGCAACATACAATATACAACGACGATAAGGAGAAGGATTGACGAGGCGGCAGAGTATAGAATGCAGATGTTCGATGTGACCGTATGATGCTTAAGGGGCAGGTTGGATGACCACATGCCCAGTTATCATCCCTGGCCGCCGCGACAAGGCTTATCTGACATTGAAATTGGACAACTCGGGCGATAAAGGGCAGTTCCTGCAAGGTGAACTTTTCCAGAAGGCTCATGGAAATTATGAGGCAGCAATCTGTCAGCTGCCTCTAATTCCTAGGATCCATAGCCCGTTGTCCGGGTCGACTGCGGTGAGGAGCATCCCCTGCTCAACGGTCAATTAATTCTCGCAGCAAACTAGCGGAATCCGGCGTCATTCGCGTCATAGATGTTGGTCTTGTGCCCTTTCTCCTGCAGCGAGGAAACAGAGACTTCAAACCGGCATTGCTTCTCGACCTGGCCGGAGTGGGCGGTAGCATGGGTATGAAGTTGCTGTGAAATTGATGGAAACATTCCGAGGCTATCAGAGACCTATACTCCGTACCGCCTACACATGGAGTATTCCGTATGCACCCGCATGAGAAGGCTTCGTCTCCGACAAAATATGAATCATCAGATCCCAACTGCGGGCGCAGCCATGCACACTCCCGGTTAAGCGCTACGAAGCGGATTCTTACAGGCGTGTTATGGCTTCATCTGCAGGGTCGACGATATTGATGCATCCTTGTAGGTGGAAAGGGTCTTTCAAAGCGCCCACAGGTTCAATGGGCTCTTGTTACGCCCAGTACGGAGTATCGATGAACTCAATTCTACACGTTCATCCCACGGGCGGTAACTATTCAACAATGGATTGTTTTGGGTCTCCAGAAACTCGGTTGATTACCCATAGCTACGGAGTACAAGTGAGCCTTGATAAATTCTATTTCTTTGCGTCTCAACCTTTGAGCACCATATAAGCCTCAGAGCCACAAGCCCCAAACATCCACGGTTCCACCAAGCAGGAGGCTGAGGTAAGCAGATAACTAAACCAATCGAGTTACTGTCAGCGAATAGGGAAGGGAGAATATATCATTAGCGGCTTCTGCACGACCTCATCCTTCAGGGCAGAAGATTTGCACCAGCCATCGATTCGGTTTCCGCTCAACTGTGGATTAGCGTTGGTTATCTCTCCCTTGCTGCCTAGCGACACCCCTGCTTGTCCTTTGAGTCAACTGCTTTTCCGCCGGGCGTGGGGTTGGAGAGGGATAAACAGCTGGCGCACTAGTGAAGTGACTAATTCACTAGCTAGCGTCTGCTGCCTCAAGGCAACCACGAGGCTGAAAATAGCCTTGAGGAACATTCTACACTCTTCACTAAGGGACTAAGCCATGCCAGTTCCACAAAAATTGCTTGAAGCTCCTGAGGCGTTGAGTTACGGTACGCAAAGGAAACGGTGAAGGTAGGACAGGAGGTAATGCAATAAGATAAATGTTACATTCTTTAATCAAATCGAATTTGTCTATATAAGCTATGGTGAAAAAGAATAAATGAAACTCTCATGTAAGTAACTCAGTAATCCGTCGCTATGATACATAAGTATGTAGAAAGTAAAATGGAAGATAAATAAAAAACTTGTCGGTACAGGCAAGGGGGTGCCCTCCGTGCAGACAGAATCATCCGCTCAATCGCAACGCTCAAAAAGTAAGATGGGAAATAACAACCAAAGAAGGAGGCAGCAGTGATGGGACTATCTCCCAGCAACAGTCTCTCCAATGCTGAAGATTAATCACAAATATCAAAATTGAAAACAGCAAGTATGGAATGCAACGTCAATCATCCAGCGTGAGTATGCATCATAATAACATAAAAGTACATCTAATGTCATGTTAGCAAGCCGCATTTTTAACAGACAAAAGCCGGCATAGATGTACATACTAAATCTCATCTCAGGTGTCATTCCAGGGCAGTCATTTATTTTATATAGGTGCAAGCGTCGCAGGCATCATGCTGGCAAACTATGCATCGGCAATGGTGCTCATAAACCTTTGGTCCATCACCGCAGCCACAGCAGAGATATAGAGATGTTCCTCGCTGCCGCAATGACGGATTATAGTTAAATATAGGCATGACGACAGAGGGTAATGTATGTGGCTCCGTGAAGTCATTTATTGATGGCCTGCGGTATGAACTTGTCGATGGTATTATTGAGGTTGGATTGTGGAGTGAGAGTGATGTCTGGACGCAACAAGGAGACTTTGCTCCAGGGTGCTGGCAGTTTAGGCAGGAAGAGCAGCTGTCGATGATCATTGGGCCAAAGCCACACCGACAACAGACCCAGTGAGTAGCCTGCGGCATGGCCCTATGTATAGATGAGGGCAAACTGTCGAGTTGATCCGCAAGCAAAAGCAGTTGGTTGCCTAGTGAGATAACGCAACGCAAAAAGAACAGTGAGCTTTATATATGTCTAACAAGATATACAAAGTAGAATATAACAATCCAAGCAACAGATGGTATGAGCTTTGATTCTTGCTTTGTGGTAGGCTGTATGAAGAGTGTTTGTGGATGAAGAATAGGAAGCAAGAACGGAAAAACTTGGTGATATATAAATGATGATTCATCTATATGTATGTGACCGAAGGAAGGAGGAAGCCTGTAGAACCGGGGCATCATGAATGCCTGGATTTGCGGGTCTCTGTGCCCTTGAACGCAAAACCGCAAAACCGTAAGTTGCCTGGCAGTGCATATAACTTGGGTCAGGTGTATTTTGCTCCATTTGAGGTATCTGACGGCCTCCAAGCCGAGAAATCACGAGATAGGCACCCAGGATTGTCCCAGGCGGAATCGTAAAGGGAGGCCTGGACATCGCTGTGGTTGCCCGGCGGCAGCTCCGCCCCAATTTAGGGTTTATTAGTGGGGGGGGGGGGGGGGGGGCAGAAATAGGCACCAATGTGCCTGTGTAGATCTCATGAGGACGCTAGGGATGACTCGACCGCTAACAGCATACATCTAGACGTGAAGGTTAATGTCAGGCTTGCAGGTTGAGTCAGAGGCGGTTTTGGTTGCTGAGGCCATTCAGCTGTCTCAGGACAGTCCGTGATTAAGTTGCTTGGAGCCTTCTGCTTCTCTGCCCTCCACGCTAAGCCCAAGGCTCCAACGGCAGGCCGAGGGGGCTGTCCAATGGGAGCCTTGCTTGGCCTGGAGCTCCTTGGTTGCCTGGAGGAAGCGGGAAAACAATCCAAAAAAAAAAAATGAAATTAGAGAATCGGACAACAACAACGATAACGACAGGTCGAGGTGACCAATGCAATGGTGATAGGACATGAGAAATACCGTAGGTATCCAATACCGTGTTGCAACTCAGTTAAACGACATGTTGAACAGGCTGTGGTTATTGCGTAGTTAGATGCTTTGAAAATTCGGAGATCTTGAGATGCAAATGAACTGTGCTGAATAACTAATAATCCAGCATCTAATCCTGGATAATCCCAGGAGCCTATGAGAAATCTCTCCTCAGTAAAAGGCGAAGGCAGCAGCCTGGGATCCTTAGAATGAGTTCCCTGTAGCCTGGACGCAAGGCAGTGATGTTTCAGCAGGCTGAACTAATCACTCCTACCAGGTAAGTTCAGGGTTCGGTCAGAGGATGGAGAAAAACGTGGAATGCATGATTGACCATGATCCGAACACTCGCAGGAGTTCTCCGTATGCTGTCAGCAGCTCTCGTGAGGGCTTTTTTTTATTATTAATTCCTATTTCCATTTTCATTTTCATCAGCCTCAAGGGCAACTACCCTGGTGCCTGGGATCGGAAACCTCGTGTCAATCGGGGTTTTCCTTTCGGCTGGGTCTGTAAGTAGATAGATTTCGGCATGAAGCGAGAACTAAATATTTCGACCTACCACAGAAGGCCTTTCCTTAGAGACAAGATCTTCGGACTTTTTTTTTTTTGGTATGGATGGTTGCCATACGTGTTAGATATTCGCTTGTGTCGATGAATAGATGGTCTGTCGCCTCAACTCCTGGGCCCTAGCTCCGCCTCTCCTTCAATATGAAACTCGATATTCTGACGGGTAAGCTTGATTTGTTTCAGCTGCAGAGCAACATTATGTCATGTTATCGACATCATATGTGAGCATTCCAGCAGCGCTGGTGTCTCCAGACACAGAACCAGCGTTTCTGTCAGGCTAGATATAGTGTCTTCACGAACAGCTAGCAGCGGTTACCTATCATCCAGCTGGGTTAATGTGCTGCAGACCTTCGCAAAGAACTGCGCTTCCTCTTCGACCTTACTCAGTGCTCCTGATAATAATGATGATGATGATGCCTCGCTGTCAACCAAAGGCTGGCGCTGTCTTCTGGATGGCTTGTTTCCTGCCTCTGCCTGTCAGCCTTATTGCACCCAGTCGCCCGGGAGAAAAGCAAAAAGAGCGGTTCAGCTTGACCAACCCATCATCACACCAGCCAAAACCTACACCGTTTTGCTTGCCTCCAGCATGATCTGCCTCCTTCGCGAGTGATGAGTCCACCCTGCATCGGCTCGTATCTTAGTTGGCGCTTCGTTGACGTTGATCGTTCAGTCCAACCTTGACGATCTTCTCCATCCTTCCCTTGCCCGTGCGGGGTGTCACATGATATCACCTTATTTGCTTACTAAGTAAGATGAAACTTTGCTTGCTTTTTCTTGGTGACTTTTTGGAATCTTGGAACTTGGGCAGCAGCAGTAGCATCATCATCGTTCATCTGGAGTGCATCTAACAGCCCATATCGACTCATTCTTGTTACCCCATGCCCATTAATTAGCTGGAATATATTATTTATCAGCTTCGTGTGAAAACTCCCCGCAGGTCTGGCAGGCAGCCTGATGTTGGCTGCTCGACAAGCTATCACCAGTCCGGGCTGATGGCATGCGATCAGAAAGCTGCCAGTCGAGCTGTCGCGAGGATAATTCCAGCTTTCCTAGGTGGGCTTATTGTCTATAGCTGCTACTCTATTACAAAGACCTTATGCAGTGAGTAATTTGGCCCTCTGATTGAGGGTTCGGTCTTTACTAACGTCTACGAAGTTGATTACTTGATCAAGCCGGCGGCAGTGACCGGATTACGCCCACGCATCGGCGTTGCTATCGGATTATTAGTTACATTCTACGTCCTGCTCATCTTCCTGGTTACAACATACCTTCGATTGCTTATCACTGTTATATTTTTCCCCGGCTACCTTCCAAGAGGGCCACAATGGCCGGGCTCAAGCAAGCAAAAGAAGAATAAAGGAGGGAAGGGACGCAAACGCCCTGGTAGCATCGATCGGGAGAAGCCAGAAGTTATGCCATATGCGACACTGGGTGAGCCTAATGCAAATGAGGAAAAGAATGAATATTCTTTTGATACTACTGGCTTGGAGGCATTTTACATGAAAGACATCTTCGTCTGCCAGCTAGACGGCAAGCCACCATGGTGCTCCACTTGCTGCCAATTCAAAACCGACCGGTCACATCATTGCAGTGAAGTCAACAGATGTGTGAGGAAAATGGATCACTTCTGCCCCTGGTATGACTCCTGTATACCTCTTAAACTTGAATGCTGCTGAAAGTGTCGATACTGACTCGGAATGCAGGGTGGGTGGTGTGGTTAGTGAAACTTCATTCAAATTTTTCATTCAGTTTCTGTTCTATGCAATGCTGTTTGTTACCTTTAATGGGGTTGTAATGGCTGTTTTTGTTGCTGAACGTAAAAAGATGGTAAATATATACACCTTTGACTTTTACCGGGTGGTTTATGGGGACTAATATGGCTTATGCTAATACAGTTCGGCACATTAAATATATACTGGCTTGTTATTGTGGCAGCGTACGTATTAGAATCTTAGTAGTATCCCTCGGCCCGTTGACACTTAACTAACCTACAATAGATCCGGTTTCTTTGGGCTCTTCTTGGCAGGGATGCTCATAAGCTCACTCCAGATGGCGCTCCGCAACTCTTCCACAATCGAAAGTCTCGATTGGGGTAGTAAAGTTTGGATTTTGGCTATTTTAATTCCTAGGCCCCTTGATCTTGACAATCTCCCTATAGAAAGTCGCCCGCCATTTCCCGTTGTCTGTTACCCTGTATCTGCGTCTCAAACCGGATCTCCATATGCCCCTCGCCGCCAATTCGCCATATTACATACACGCCCCGGCGAAAACCCATTTGACCTTGGGGATCCGTTTGCAAACCTGGGGGAGGTCATGGGTCACTCCGTGCTTGATTGGATTCTACCCATAAAGCATAGCCCATGTGCCTCCCATAAACGGCAGGACAGCATGTATGCCCTCGGCCCTGTTGTCCAACGGATGAAAAAAGAAGCAGATTTATTGGAAACTTCCGCTCGTAAGTCTGGCTACCACTCTTACAAGACCAAAAGAAGGCGTAGGGATGGAAGATCCAGAGACTCCGATCCATCATCCTCACGGTCCACCCATAGTCGGTCACGAGACGAGAAAAATAAAACTAACCGAAGACAAACAAAGGATCCTTCTAAGCCTCACCGTCGTTCTCGAGATGGAGACAGATCGGTCCGGGGATAGTTTTCTGTCGAGGGTGCTTGATATATCATATATACGATATCGGTTCAAGTACTATGCACTAGAGAAACAGCGCTCACACTGTAGACTAATCATTTACATTGATACCCTTTCCTTGAATACCCTACCAGACTCTAGTTTTTTCGCTATAACTTACCTCTTACTACTGTTACAGTTACAGTTACATTAAGCTGAAGAGGCTCCCTTTTTACCCTACTTAGACCTTGTAATATCCCCTGCCTGCTCTTAGTTAATACGAAAATTGTCTTATCACCCAATGAATTACTCGACAGTTATGGCCTCTCACTTGATTATAACGAAGCGAAGTTGTAGAGCTAAGATTGTCATTTGTCATTAGCTCTCTAGGTCATGTTGGTAATAAAAACTAGTGGCCGGTAAAGACCGTAACAGGCAGGCCCGTACAGCAGAATCCCGCGGGAGAAGGAAGGCAAAGATAAAATCATAGACACGAAAAGAGGAATTAGAACTAAAGGATAAGGAATACAGAACGGGTATCAGGCGTTAGGCTTAAAAGGCATAGACAGGACATCACAGAAAGCAAGTAAGCGGTAGGAAGTGGTCATCCACATTAAAATATCAACAACAGTGGATCCAACCGGTCATCGTCATGTTTCGTAGGGTCGGGGATGAGGCAAGCGTCAATGAGAAAGCGTGTGTCGACAAGTTATAGGATATTGGCTTAATATAATGTCGTTCGCAGTTCGAGGTAAAAGGTACGATATCGAAGGCGTAGGTCAAGGTGCCCACCTTTTAAGGGGGTGTTCTTGGGTGTTCAACAGCAGGACTCGTAAGTGTCTAGGTTGATAGGGCGGAGATTTTTGTTGTAGTAGCGAGCAGTTGACAGGCGTAGTGCGCGATTCCAATGCCTAGACGATCATATGGATGGAATCTCGACATGTGTCGCATCGAAGGTGTCCACAGCTCGGGCATCTTGACGGGCTGGTATCGTAGTCATTGCTTTCTGAGCACTCGCAGCACGTCCATCGATCAGAGCCAAACATGTAGTTCTTCGGGTCGAGAGTCTTGACCATGGTGTTCGATGCCATGGAAGTTCCACCGAAGACGCCGCGAACTTGGGTAGTGTATGCAAAGCACATCCTGAGGTGACCCTTGCTTGAGTGAAAGACGTAGAATAGTGTTCTTGAGCACTTGAAAGAGATGTTTCTGGCCTTTTGTCTGGCTTCTTTCAGGCTGGTTGGAGCAGGGTTGTCTTGTCAGAGGTGAGTATGTGTGAGGTGTAGGTTGTTGGATGGAGGAAGAAGCCGACGAGGAGGAGGGGAAGACGTGCAGTTTAAATTAACCAAAACAACAACAACCCATCCTCACTGACTGACTGCCTTCTGAACAGAGAGCATAAGAAGCAGCAGCAGCAGGCAAGCAGAAACTGGGAGCCCAGAAGGCAGCAACACGTCTGCCTTCCCTAGTGCATGGGATAATAATTGCTATAACAAGCCAGAAGTCATGCAGCGGGATGCACCGCCCTCACATTAGCAAACATGCTGTTCGAGCAGGAGAGGACAGCCAAACCAGCGAGACATACACACATCTGAACCAGATAAAGGGCACATCAGAGGGTGAACAATGACCATTGTTCAGGAGACTCTCTGGCCCCCGGTGGTGGTAAGTTAAGGCCTCTAACCTGCAAAAGTCGGTCAGGGGGAATATTTTTTGAATGACAGGCCGTATACTGACTTATTGAACAGTCCAGATCCCAGCAACATAGCAGAAAGAAACCAATAGAAGCCCTCGATCAGCAAGAAAATGGCTAGATGATCATGGTTCCTCTGTTAGCGGCTTAGGCAGCTAGCATAGAACTTCCACTGCATGAAAGGTGCATATGATGTGCATGGGTGCCTTTGCTAGGCAAGGCTTGCTGCATGGATTATGGCAGCTAGCTTGCGTTATGGCCTCGAACACCTGTCAATGTCCAGTCCGGGTGCTGGTTTGCTTTATCTGGCAAAGTATTTCCCTCGGAGTACTTTGCCTAACGCGGACTCTGATGGGTATTTAAAAATGCAAATCTTTTTGAGGTTTACCATGAAGCTAACACGCAAGTTCCTTTCAGATACAAGCTCCAGTTCTGTAGCCTCGCTGATACCAATACCCTTTTTTTTTTTTTTTTTTTTTTTTTTTGCAATGCCTTAGCGAATTTTCCGGATGTCAGGTCCAAAGTAGACGGGGAAAAACCACGCTAGTCAACACTGTCTTTTTTGACGGCAAGCCCTGCAGATCCCCGGCCATCATCAGGTCCAGAAGCATACCCTAAACACCTCTTTGTCTAGGATATATCGATTACTGCTAGTTTTTGCATTGGCGCTCATCTCCATGGATGTCAAATCCTGCTCGCACAGAAACCGTATCACGTGACACGTTCAAATGCTGGCTGAGTCGATTGCAAATTTCTTCCTCCTTTGCACGGTTTGCGATGAAAGGACCAGTTGAAAACGGGATATTTCGGTACCAGCCGTTGGATCAGGACAAAATACCATGCGCTGCTTACAGCTGCAGTGCCACAGGTTCGCTCTTTATTGTTGGTGGAATAGTGAAGCGGTTCCTTGAAGCAAGGCTAGGCCCATACGGGGACGGATTGCCAGTGGCTGTGCTGTTTCTCTCAGCGGGCTCGCACACAAAATTCAATATTAATCCGTATCGGAAGTGAACATGGGGCTGAAGCGGTTAATTGCTGATGTTCATAATAGAAAAATATCTTGGAAAGCAACTGAAAATGTGCCTTGGTTGAGCAACCCACAAAGGCACGCACACACGCCTATGGTTCGCATTAAGGCTTAGCCCGCTCCTAGATCAAGATGCAGGCTGAGTTGCAGGGAGGGTGGATATTAGATAGTGGATAGTGGGTTAAGCCTGTTCCACGGTTCGGTGCTGAGTGAGTTTGGCCTTGTGTTGATGGCAGAACAAGCCCTTGAAGGGGCTCGGTGTCCTGCAGCGGTGGTGCCTTGCCTTGCAGGTGACGGAGAGACGCTTTCGCCTCTGCTTCTCTTTGCTTCTGCTGCGGAGCCAAGTTAGCTTAACCAGCTCAAGGGGAGATAGGAGGAAAGGCTTGCATACACACTTCATGCATCTCGGCGGCACAACATAGCTACGGAGCGCTGCCACCAGCTGCTGCAGCCTGGGGGGAAGAAGGCCCCTGGGCCGAGTGGAATAGAATCAACTAGACTGCACTGGCATGTCCTCAGCATAATCGAACCACCGAACGATCAACCAGACAGTGAGCTCCTGCTGCCTGGTATTAGTAATAGTCCGTTGAATTGGTCGACGCAGGGAAGAAGATGGCCACAGACGCTTCTTAGCAAGTTTGAGTGACTCTTAACTTAACTAGTTAGTTATCAATTTTCCCGCGCCACTGCCCACGTCAACACCAACAACCCACCATACTCCCGATTTTTATCCAGTTCACTCAGTTGCCAGCTTTCAAGTATCTACAAAGTGACGGCCAGCGGGACAAAAATATGTAAGTTGTCTCGTTCCCTGGCCGAGAATGCGTGCAACGGCATACCAAAAGTCATCCCATGCCAATGCCTGCACCCTGCACCTCGCAGTGACGCCGGTATACCTGGACCAACCCCAGCGCGCCATGCTGCCTGCAAGTTGCTGCAAGTTCAACTGCTAGAGACACCGTCTGGCTAATGGTTCGCTTGCTCTACAGATATAACAGGATAAAAGATACGAATCAGCGTCTCACGATCTACCATCTATCACCTCCTTTCATCCTAGCTGTTTAGCTACAGGCGCACGGGAGACCGTCAAAACCACAGCAGTTCTACCTAGGCATCAAGCAAGAGAGCCCCCAGGTGCATCAAGAGAGGGGGGGAAGAGAGGTCCTGCCGCCTATAATATTCTTCAGACTCACGCTATACGGGGATTGGCTCTCCCCTTGGGCACTGAAGGAGTGCCCTACACCCCCCCCCCCTCATTCGCAAAGCTACACAAAACGAGTGAACATCGCGATCCCTCTCGACCCGGCTAACAGTGTTACGGGCCTTTTGAGGGCCATCAGGTGGGAAATATGGCCAGCCAGGACATTCGAAGCGGAGCGAGGAGGAGCTCGAGGGTATCTAGCGGTCGCGAACTCAAGCTACCCCCCTCCTACACTGTTGACGGGAGAACGTACACGGCAGGCCCCGAGATGCGCCCGCGCAGCCATACGATATCAGCGGAAGCGAGCCGAATCCCACTGAATCCACTGAGCCTACCTAGCTCTCCGAGCCGGCAACCCGTAGTGACCACTATCAAGCCACGGTCTCAGACCATCTATCCCACCCCATCGCGAGATGGTGGTGAGCGTTATATAACCCCTTCATCGTCTCATTCTCGGCATAGGCAACCGAGTGGGCCACTGGGAGGAGAGCCCGATACGATAGTGCCTTCTGGGGAGCGTGAGCTCAAGTACAGGAATGGGTATCTGACTCCCGCCGGAAATTCAGGGTTCCCAAGCCCTAACCGGGATTCCAGCTACAAAGATATCGATGTTCATGATTCATTCAGCTATACCAACGCTCGAGAACAGTTTTATAGAGACTCTGATGCCATTCGAGAATCCCGTCGACAAGTCCCCGCTGTCAGAAAGGCAAGGCCCTTGAGTTTGACCGGGTTGGAAGCTTACCTTCCACAAGTCACTCGGGACCCAAAGGCTGCTGGGCCTCCGCCATCATCTCGGCGATTCCTAGCGCCTGAGAGAGAAGACGCGCCTCGCAATTACAGAGAGATAAAGCCGCGGGACCTGGATGCTGACACAACCAGGAACAACTCTACAGTTTCTCGAGCTTCTGACAACGTCCGGCAGAACAGCTCCCTTCGCAACCCAGTATCTTTACACCAGGACAGAACTACGTCACCATCACCCGCCCCTCCTGGCCCACGTCGCTCCGGCTATGATAATTCAGTTGACAAAGGGTATCAGATACGGAGAGATGCGAACAACAACGTGATTGTTGATGATAAACCCGAAACTGCTCGGCGTGACCGACGACTAAGCGTTTCTGGTCAGACTCCGAACCGAGATCGAGGATATTCTACCGGCCGGGCTCCGGATGGAATGACAAGTGGTGGCCTCGCAACTGCTGGCCTTGCCAGTGGATATTCTAATGAACCCATGGACGCACACCCACGGTCTGAGGCTCGGAGCGGGCGAGATCGGTCCGACTATCCCAGCCGCCCTGAAGATAAATATAAACCCTCCAGGAACTGGCCTCAGGATACAAATGATGGCTACTATTCGGACGGAGCTAGGGGAAATCACCAATATAAGCCATCATCATCCTCTCGGGAGACTGAACGGCGCCCCAGGGCTCCATCACCTGTTGACTCGGACTCGAAGCGGTCAATCAACTCCTCACGTCATGAAAATTACGAAAGAGTAGCTCCAAGGGAATCGAACTCTTCTGCAAAGAGATCGCCTCCTCCGGCCAGTGGAACGAGCCCAGATACCCAAGCGCCCCGAGGGATTCTAAAACAACCCACTGAGAAATTCCCTGAGGAGCCCCATGCTGTCCGAGAAGGCGTGGCGCCTTTGAAGGATGCGCCGAAGAAAGGCGTACCAGCTGGTGCCCGCTGGACCAAGATCGACAGAAGGCTAGTCAGCCCATCTGCTCTTGAAGGACGAGAAAGGTTTGAAGAACGACCGGACTACGTGATTGTGCTTCGAGTTCTGTCCAGAGAAGAAATCGAGGAGTACGCACTTTCGTCGGCTAAGATACGAGGTGAGTCTTGATGATTGGAACTGCGAGTTGCTGTGGTTTGACGATACTATGGAAGCTGATGGTGGGTGTCTAGCTTCACGAACCCGACGAATCTCAGATCGTAAATCCCGAGACGAAGATGATACTCGAGCTCGCGGACGTGATTCCGACAGCGATGATGAAGACGACCACAGCTCATCCCAGCTGCGACTCGAGCCACCGCCACGAGACCCCAGACGATGACGAACGTGAGCCGTACCGCACATGTCCGTCATTAACTCCCCTCATCTAGTTTCTACAATCTCTCACACTTCGCAGAGCCATGCCTTTGTCTGATTTCCTCGCATCTAATGATTGTTTGTTGACTTATGAATACCAAGCTACTAAATAAAAAAAAAAAAAAAAAAAAAAGGAAGAAAAAAAAAATATTTTCTTGCTTTGTTTTTGACGAATACTTAGCCATTCATTGAGAGGTGAGAATTTGAATTCCTTGCTATAGATTTCTTGGTATGGACTGGATGTGAGTCTATCAAGTAATCTATGCTACTACTGACTTAAGAAATGATGGACGTTACCTTTTTTTTTTTGCTCGAGGTTGCTAGATTGTTGAATTCAAGAAAACTATCTTGGTGCCTTTTGATTCGACGGGCTGTCTACTCTATTGAATGACTGACTAGTTAGCTGACGACCCTTTCAAAAGCGTAGAGTATTTCTCTCGTTCAAATAGCTGTTTGGTGATGTCGACGTTTGATGAGTTCTCAATATGCGGGATGTGGGGCGGCTATTGTTACTAAGCGGCGGCAAGTTAAAATTAACCGCGGACAACAACATCAACAAAGAGCATCCCCGTATATAGCTATGGTATTCTATAGAGATGGCGACGAAATGAAGTTAGATAGCTCTATGATTAAATGATTGAATTTTTCGTTGTTTCAGTAATCTCAGTGTGTGATTGCTAATGTATCTGCAGAGCCTCTACCATTCCCGTATCACAGGTCCAGAGGCACATTCTATTCATACTACGGATACCAAGCCCCTAAACCACTTCCTTCGTACAAAGTTCTCCGTAAAGAGTACCCCTCATTCCCTCCCAACGCTATAAATATATGACCGTTGAGATCAGCACACGAACTCCCCAGCCGATCAACAATCGTTACATCATACCCCGGGCCCCTCAAAGCCAAGTATAAATATATGTATATATCTAGGATTAATCTCGATGCTCCGCCCTAGCGGCCGGCCGATCGAATCATAAGCTACCTAATGTAAGCTACGCTACTCCAGAACGAACACTATATACATGCAAGAGCGATCACAAAAACAAGCTTCCAATACACAACAGGCTGGCGTTGCAAAAGCAATAAAATAAAAGATAAAAATAAACATAAACCAACAAAAGCCACTCGAAAAAAGTAAAAAGTAAAAACAGAACGAAAACAAAAGCAACGGTGCGAGAGTGTTCATTGACGTCAAAGCGGAAAAGTATATGTGGGCTTTGCGTGAGAAAAAAGAAAAAAGGGCGCAAGCAAGGCGTGACAAGGCATGGCAGGGCATGGAGCATGGCGAGGCAGGGAAGCGGGGACCGCGGGGCGGAAAGTATATGCCGAGGGGGGTGCGTGTGCGGTCGAGGAGCTTATTTGAGCTGCTGTCGATGCCACTAGAGACGATCGGTCGGTGGGATCGGGTAAAAAGGTAAAAGGTGATCTGCGGATTTGAGGGGAGGAAGAAGGTAGGAAGGGGAGAAGAAGGTATTTACATAATGCGTGTGTCAGCGTCAATCAATAAGTGGGAAAAGGAAGAGGAAAAAGAAGAGAAGCGCGCTGGTGCTCGAACGTGTGAAAAGTGTGAGCTGGCTGGGCTGTAAATGCCGGTGTATATGGCTGGGGCGGGAGGTATATAGAGGAAAAGCGAGTCTATATCGAGATAGATGTCGAAGTATATGTCGGGTGTAGATGGTGATGAAAGTCAGTGGAGACGTCGGCTAATCGACCGTCTTGCCGCCGCAGTCGGGAATCTTGATGCCAGGCTTGAGAACACGGGCAGGATCCATAAGACCCCATTTATCTTCCCATTCCTTGCCGGGCTCATTGAACGTGACTTTCCACGGCTCATCAAACGCCTCAAACCTGCATTCATTGTTAATATTCCTCAAAGAAAGAAAGAGAGAGAGAGAGAGAGGTATAAACAAAGAAAAAGAGAGAAGAGGTATAAAAGAAGACGACATACCAGAAATAATCCGTCCCGTTACTGAGGGCCTGACACACCCAATTCTCCATGAAGATATTCATGTCCTTGACGCTGGCTACAGACCCCGAGTCGGAATCCGGACACTTGGAATCGCCGCAGTTATTCCCTCCACCGCTAGGCCATCCGATTTCCGAGATGATCTGTTTCTTATCCGTGCCCTTTGTCAACGCGACGTCGTGTTCGGTCCAGAACGACCATGCCCAGCCCGTGCCCTTGTCGGCCGTGACGCCGGCGAAGAACGGATGGACGTTGGACATGACTACATCGACGATCTTGGTGAGCGGCTGAGTCCAGGCGTCGCCCAGGTCTGACGTGGCGATGGGGAGGTCGAGGTTGAGCGATGCGAGCTCCTTCTTGACGCCGGTGATGTATTTCATGAGCTGTGTGAGAGTGGACGGGTCGTTTTTGCCACGATACAGCACCTCGTTGCCGACGATGACGCCCTTGAAGACGGACTTGTCGCGGGTGTTTTCGAGGATGTTGTAGAGCTGTTTGATCTGGCGGTCGTTGGTGGTGGTGTTGGTGTCTATCCAGACGCCGAGCCAGAGCTTCATCTGCTTGAGCTCGAGGCGCTCAAAGGCATGCAGGACCATCTCGGTCTGGTTGCAGTCTGTGCCGTACAGACGGACGGTGTTGGTGAGCTGGGAGAGCACGGCGATGTCGCGGGTGACGTTGTTCTGGCTGGGCGGGTACTTGAGGCAGAGCGGGTACTGGGTGCCCCAGGGGGTGTAGTCCATGCCTGGGAAGACCTTATGCAGGTCCTTACTCTGCAGGGCCTTGATCTCCTTTGAGTCCTTGCCGAGATCTCCCTTGTCGTCGTCTGCGCCGGAGCCGCTGTGGCCGGGCCTGTTGGGGTCGGAGCTCGCTTTTTGGTTGGCGAGGATACCTGCGGTGACACCGCCGGCTATGGCACCGGCGAGGACGAGGGCGACGATGATGCCGATGATCCAGAGGCGTTTCTTGCGGGATCGTTCTTCGTCGGCAAAGACCTTTTTCTCTCCGGTTGCGAGGTTGTAGAGGGGAGTGTCTGCGCCGACACCCGCTCCGCTCCCGCTGCCGTTCCCGCTGCCACCGCTTGCACCGGCGGGACTGCGGGCACCCGAGCCCGGCAATGAACCAGATGCAGCAGCTCCCGCCCCGACGCCGGGATAGAGGTTGTTGTGGCTTGAGTTGTGGCCCATGCTGAGGAGGGAGCGTCTCTTGGGCTCGGGGATGAAGCCGTCGTCTCCGTCGTCGACGATGTCGTGCGGGTTGATGGACTCTGGATGCACTGCGCCGAGGCCAGACTCGTCTCTCCTGTACGGGTCATCATAGTGGTATCGTGCGGCACTATCCTGGTACGCATTGTACGTATCATTGCCATGGTTGCCATGGTTGTTACTATAGTTGCTGTTGTTGGTGTAGTTGGTGTGATCCTGGTAGCTGCGGCTATGGGCATAGGCAGCGGGATCATAGCTGCCGCCCATGGTCTCCTGGTATCCCATCTCCTCGTAGGCACGCGAGTCATGCAGGTGCCGGCGAGAGTGGCCCGGGTATGCAGCGACCCCCGAGGCCAGCCCGGTCATGCCTCCGCCGGCCGCCGCATGGCCGTAGTTGTCTGCGCCGGCGGTGACGTCTGACCGGCCCGGATGCTGCGGAACATAGTCTTCCGAGTAGTACTGGTCGTCGTGAGGGAGATGCTGCTGGCGATGCTGCGGAGGGCGAGGCGGCTGGGGGTTGACGGGCGAGTAGTAGTTGTTTTGCGGAGGCAGCATGGCGAGGTCCTGCTCGGGGTCGGGCGAAGGGTTTCGATAAGCCGGTCGATAAGGCTGCATTTGTCTTGTCTCTGGTATTATCCCTGTTGTGTTTTCTGTTCCTGTTCCTGTTCCTCTTCCTGTCTGTTCCTGTCCTGATCCGTTTCTCAGTCTTCCTGTTCCTGTCGGTGTTCCTGGCCCGTCAACATATCAGACGGTACAAGCGGACCGGCCCCGGAGTCTGAGTCTGAACAGGAAGAGAGAAGATGAGACCAACTTCAACCGCAGAAGTTTTGAGCGATGCAGTTTAGCCCTTCCTTCGCAGGTGAGGTGGTTGTTTCTCGCTCGTATCCAGTACGATCGCCGTGCTGTTTCTCTTACTAAGGAGGCGGGCCGGGGGGGCAAAGCTGAAATTGGGCGTTGAAGCCAGGAGCAGCGCTGAAACACGGCGATCAGATGGAGATGAGCAGAGAATCGAGATGTGATGGATATACGGGATATAACAGAGGAGGATGTCGGAGTCCTGAGAAAAGGAGAGACATGCAGAGGAAAAGGAGGCTGAAGCAAGCGAGATGTCTTGAACTAGCGCGCAGCCGCGGGCGTTGTTTTGATGGTCGAAGTCACTTGGCGTCGGCCTGACAACAGCCTAAGCCGCCAGGGTTATCTATGTATACTAAGTATATATTTACTTAGATGGAGATGGAGATGGACCGCTAAGTATATGTTTACTTAGATGGAGATGGATGGAGATGGGGCGTGGGCGACGGGTCAGACGCCGAGTGGCGAAGATCGTGATCACCGCGATGAGACGAGACGAGACGAGACGAGATGAGACGAGATGAGACTTGAGATGAAACAAAACGCCTGAAGGTCATCATGTTCATAAGAAGTAGAAGAAGAAGTAGAAGAAGTAGAGGAAGAGACCGCCCAAAACCAACTTTTAGCATACATACATACAGCCATGAAGATAGACAGAGAAGACGTAGGAAAGACATCATCGTAAGAGGATAGAAGTAGACTACTCGACCTCCTCAGCGGACCGGGAGGAGGCAGCCGTGAGCACTGCCGGCGGAGAGGCAGCAGCAGCAGCAGCAGCAGCAGTAGAGTCCTTTTCTTTACTGTCAGCTTTGCGGCCTCTCTCGAGCCATCGTCTCTTGCCGACGCGGGTCTCAAAGTAAGGGGCTATCTCGCTGGTCTCATGGCCGGCCGTCAACATGCTGTTCCTCATCTTATTGCGATACGCGTCCACTACAGAGGTTAGCATAGACCCTAGGAGTAGTATAGAGTAGAAGATAAGAAGACCTACTTGAGCGCTGCAAGAAGAGCATCCTGCCCGCAAAGACCCTGCTCTGCCCCCAGCTCATGCGATACCCCATATCATTGAGCAGCTCTTCTCTCTGCTTCTTCGCCCTCGTCAGCCGCGGGACCAGCACTTCTCCTCCCTCCAGCATAGCCATGGGCACACTCGTCTTTCCCGCCGTGACGTCTTCCTCAGCATCGGCACTGCCAGCAACAACCCTCTCTACGGGCGCCGCTTCGTCGTCGTCGTCCATGAACCGATCTCCCTTGCGGCGCTGGTGAGCAAACGGCGAATGAACGGGGACATATGTGCGCGGAAACACCGAGTTGGCCTTGCGATACGAGTCTGGGATCTCCTTCATGTCGACCTGGTCGAGCATGACCTTGACGCGCACCCGGCATGAGCGCTGCGGATCCTCGACGAGAATGAACTTGCGTCGTTTGCCTTCGGGGAGGTCTTTGAACTGTTGTTGCTGCGTGGACGGGTTGGGGGTATCTTCTTGTGCCGCGCGTTTGTCGGCTGTAGTGGCGGTGGTTGCTGAGGAGGCTGGGGGGTATGATGGGTATGTAGAGCCGTTGAAGACGTGGGCTGGTCTATCTGTGTATGTCTGTGGATGGCGGTACTGGGCTGGGGTGAATTAGCTTAGTTTACTTCGACTGACAGGGACAAGGATGGGCCGGACAAGGGAGAGACAAGGATATGGATATGGATATGGATATGGATATGGATGATGGATGGATGATGGTTGTATGGGTATATAGAATGGGAATTCGGCTGATAGATACACAGCTCAAATACAGTCACTCAATAGATAAGCATAAACATGAAGAAGAAGAAGATGATGAAGAAGAAGATGATGAAGAAGAAGACCTTTTCCCTAGCTCCCAAGTCCCAGCACTCCTGTCCGGCCCGCTCCAGCATACATGACACATAAATAATCACAGAGAAGTAGTAAATAGTGAAGAAGTAGAAGAAGTAGTAGAAGAAGTAGTGAAGATAGAGGTTACATCTGCTGAAACATACCGCTGACATTGACGTCCTCTGCATGGCTCTCATGCGGCTGATGCGGCGGCAGACCCGGCAACGGCTGCTGCTGCTGATGCGGTGGCTGCGGGTGATGCTGCTGCTGCTGCTGCTGATGCTGGCTGAGATGCGATGCATGCTGGGCCACCGCCTTGCGATTATTCGCTTTCGCCATGCGCTTGACTCGCCGACTCCTCAGCCGCGGATCCTGATGCGAATTGCGCCAACTGTCGACCGCCCGCTGGATGAGCCCCCGCTTGCCCCGGAGACACGGGTTGAGCTCTGCCAGCGCCCATCCGACGGCGTTGCACTCTGTCTCGTAGACGAGCCTGTTGCCGCGGTACTGGTCCTTGGTGCAGCAGGCGCGCGGGTAGACGCAGTTCTCAGTCTTGAAGTCTTGAGGCAAGGTCTCGATGTTAATGTTCTCGACGTCGCAGCGGATGGTGTACTCCATCTTGACGCGGTCGCGGGAGTACTCGAAGGCGATCCACTGGACGCCGTTTGTGTCTTGCCGGACGACGAGCGGCGTGGTTGCTGGGATGGGCCCCGGAGCAGCGCCGGAGTTTGTCGTGGGCGAGGAGGATGTCTGCGGCCTGCTCTCGAGTTTCATGCGCGGGCTGACTTGGGACGGGCCCTGGGCGTGTTGCTGGTGCTGTTGGTGTGGATGCTGCTGTTGGTGCTGTTGATGCTGTTGATGCTGCTGCTGTTGATGCTGCTGTTGATGCTGCTGTTGATGCTGCTGCTGGTGCTGCTGCTGCTGGTGATGCTGGTATGGCGGGAGGGAGCTCATGGGCGAGTACTGGGGGTAGGCAGCGGCGGCGGCGTACATGCCGAGGGCTGGCGGTTGGGCGTAGAGCGAGCGGCCATGCTGGTCCTGCTGGGCGACGGAGGAGGCAGGATGGTAGATGGGCGGGTAGGGCCGCTGCATGTGCGCCGTTGCCATAATGAGAGACTGGAGAGTAGACGAGAGAGACAGAGCGAGAGAGAGAGAGAGAGAGAGAGAAAGAGAGGGCTATAGAGGTGGTGAGGTGGACTGCTGGGTATCGGGACGGGCGACGAGGGAGAGCTTATAAGGACGGGGAGAAGAAGTCGAAGAGAAGAAGTAGAAGAGAGTCAAGACTAAGAGGAGAAGAAGGTTCGGAAGTCAAAAGGGGATCAACGCGCGCCCCGAAGATCTAGAAGAAAGGCGTTGTCGTGGGCGGGCAGGCCAGGCCAGGGCAGGGACAGGGCAAAGGACAGGGTGAGACAGCAGAAGACTCTGACTTTACTCTTCTCTACTCGAAGAAGGCATTGCTTTTTCATGGTTGCTTTTTCGCGTGACTTTGCTTTTGCTTATTTACTGCCTGGCATACGAAAACGAAGTCTCTACTTCGAGTCTTCTCTGCGACTTCGGCCTCTCCTTTTGCTCTTTTTGTCTTCTACTCGCTCTTATCTGCTCAACGCCTTCCTTCTTGAGAAGACGGTTCTTGCTCTTTCTCTTTCTCCTGCTCTTTCTCCTGCTCTTTCTCTTCTTTCTCTTCTTCTTACTCTTCGTCGTCCTCTTCGACTACTTCTACCCTCCTTCCTAATCCGACTTCCCCCACGCTTGGCGACATGTCTTGGCAAACAAGGAGATGCTTCCTCTTCTGGCTAGAGCTCCCGAGGGATCCACTCTTCCAGAAGCAGACAGTAAAGCTTAAGACGAGAAGAGCAGAAGTAGAGAAGAAGCCAGAGAGAGAAGAGAGAAGAGAGAAAAGAGCAAGAGCAAGAGAGCAAGAAAGTAGGAAAGTAAAAAGAGAGTCTTCTCAGAGTCTTCTTTTATCTACTTTTATCTTTTATCTACTTACTTTCTCCCTGCTTAATCCTCTCCATCCTCAACCCGGCGCCGATCATGCAGGCATTCCTTATGTAATGCCAACCCAGTCAACCTTCTCCTCCACCCAGAAACTCCTCCGACTTTACTCTTCTCACTTTACTCTCCTCCTCCACCTCCATCCGCCCGCCCATCCCTAAGCGAGTTCCCTTGTCCCTTCACCTCCTCCCACCTCGCAGCTAATATGACACTCCCTGCCCGAGCTCCAGACAGGCACGATGCTTGTTTCGTATCCCTCCCTTCGTATCATCTTACTGACCTGCTTAACTGCAAAAAGAAAAAAAAAAAAAAAAAAAAAAAACAGCAAAAAAGAAAAAGAAGGACAGCGGCTAGCGTCGAACATCACCTTCGAACCCGCTCAGCTCCTTGTCTTCCCGCGCCATCCCTGCCCTCACACTCCCCCCCTTCCTACTGACTTTATGCCACCCACCGTCTGATAAGCGCTCTCCAGGATGTTTCACCTTTCTCTTCATCTCACTCAGTAATCATAATCAGTCTCTCAACTCGGTCGAGTCCCCGCACCCGCATCTCCCTGGCCGTCCACTCTGGCTTAAATATCCGGCCGCAGGTGGGGGGCCAGCAGGATCAGGATCAGGACCAGGATAATCTCCCTCGATGTTGCTTTTTCTCAGTCCTCTCTACCTTCTACTTACTCTACGCTGTCAGTCAACTGAAAACCGGCTCTGTCATCCGTCTGGCTGTCTGTTGTCTGTGTAACGACTCAAACCTCCCATTCGACAGGCGCTTTTCGCTTTTCCCTCGTCACACCCTTCTTCTTCTTCCATCGTCCATCGGCTATTCAAAGTACTCTAACTAAGTCTGTATGTAGCATGTAGTATGTAATAACAATGCTCTGGCTGCTTTTCTTTTTCGCTGCTTCGCCTCAAATCGCCTGATAGAGTTAATATCCTGCATTAAACACTACACACTACACACTACAAACTACTCCTGCACTATAACCATCATCACCACCACCACCACCACCACCACCACCAACCACTCGCTACTCTCGCTCTCCTCGTTCTTCCATCTGTCTGTCTGTCTGTCTGTCTGTCTGTCTCCCGCAGGCCACTCCCGTCCACCCGCAGCACACTAGTGCATGTCGTGGTTTATGCTATGCTACATATCCCGTTTAAACTACCACGACTACGACTACGACTACGACGACGACGACGACGACGACTGGCCTGCTGTCCTCGTATCGATCTCAGCCTGCGTCGCACTGCCTGGCGCTCTTGTACGAGGGCCCCATCGCCCCCCTTATTTTCCTCCTTACGTACTCTCCCTCTCTCTCTCTAGCTACTTTCTGGCTACTCTCTAAGCGAAGCCGCTTTCGGATAGTCGCTGTTATGCTTAACTGTTCATCCCCCCGACCGACCGTCCCTTTTTTTTTTTTTTTTTTCTTCTTCTTTTCTACTTTTAACCAGACCCAACTAGCAAGTTAGTAGCTCGACTAGCAGGAGTTGGGTGGTTCATGCTTTAGTGCGATAAAATACTTCCGGAAGTTTCGTGATGGGCTCCGTCTTTCCACTGAGGTCAGTCAGGCCTGGCGATCTTGACCAGTCGTACAAAAACGGTTGGTTGGCCAGCAAGGACGAGTGTCGACAGACTGGCAACAGACTGCATCACTGCGTCACATACCATCACATACCACACAGAGAGAGAGAGAGAGAGAGAGAGAGAGAGAGAGAGAGATGCAGGTAGATATATATATGTACGTCGATGGGAGCATAAGTAAGCTGATCCGTAAGCTGATCCCTGAGCTTCTCCAGACTCGCAAGGAATCGACATGCCCTTTAATTTTAAAGCATTAGCACCTTTTTTTTTTTTTTTTTTTTTTTTTGCCCTTTCTTTCCTTGTAAGAGGGAAATGGAATGTGGCTGAGGATGGGGATGCGAGGGAGGGCGGGCGGGAGGAGTGACAGACTGGCCAATCCATCATCCATTACTTGCTTGACTTTTGTTGTCCCATGGATAGTCCGTCAAGGTAATAATAATAATAATACTCAAGTAACTTGGGCTGGCTGGCTGGCGAAGCAGGCGAGAGTAAGGGGATTAAATGGGAAGATGCATGGGTGGATGGATGGATGGATGGATGGGGATTAAGGGCTCGGAAATGAGCAGCGAGATTAACGGAGAAACAGCATAAGAAAGTCGTTAAGCAGAGGATGTTAGAGGAAGGTGAGGAGATGTTAGATACTTGTTAAACTGGCGAGAAGTAAAGAGATCCACTGGCTGGGATGGGAGAGCCTCACGAGGAAGCTTGACCAGCTGGGTAAGGATGGCTAGTTAGGGGGAGGCCGACAGGGTTAGGAGAAGCTGGTCGAGTTAGGGGAACCGCTGGCGTGGGAAAGCACAGTCGCCGTCGCGCATCTCAGCCAACGAGTTATCCATCCTTCTGCCCTCGTATGGAGCAACTGGTGAAGTAAAATGAAGCGTGTGTGTGTGTGTGTGTGCTCAGCTAGTTCGTTGGATGATGCATTGGAACATGCAAACGTGGCGAACAATGGGGTCTGCTCGTCGACTGGTCAGTCAAGGCCAGACCAAACCAGCTCGCCCCGTCGCCAAAAGCTGCCCTGTGCATCCTGACTGGTAGATCAAAGGGGGGGGGCCATAGTGTAAGTTATCATTCTCAAATCCCGCGAGCCAGCCAGAGAGGGCCCCATCGTAGCTATTTCTCTAGTCTCTTAATAAGGGGCGATATAGCCTGACTCGACTGTCTTTGAAGTCCGTTCCATGCCTGTTCTCGGTCCGCAGCACTTGATTGGCAAAGAGTCAGTCAGCTTTCAAGACCCAGTGCGGGACAGACAGGTAAAATGGCAAGCAACAACAACAACAACAGCAACAGCAACAACAACCACAACGGAAAAAAAAAAAAAAAACAATAAATAAAATATGACCAGACCAGTGCATATGTATGTGGGTATGCATGCAGTATATGTATAGCAGCGTTTACTTATAGCCATCTCAAGTCATATCATGTTCGACCAAACGACCGCCAGAAGACACTCGTCCCCCAGAATGACGCCGTATTCGGTTCAAACTCCGGCAGGCGCACTGACTGGTTCTTGCTGTACTCTTCCAGCACCTCGTCTCTACTCAACTGTTAGCAATATTATATCCGACAGAATAGAAGATGGAAGACTCACGATGTCTCTAATGGCCCACCGAAGAACACCACGGGCCGTCTAGCCAGCACCTCGACAAGATGCCGTCTCTCCATGCCCGGCCCAAACACCACCGTCTGCTCATCCACCATGCCAAACGCCTCTCGCCGCACCACTTCCACCCCCAACGAGGCCAACAGCTCGGCGTCCAGCCTGTTGAAAACTGGATCCTGGGCATAACACCGACACGCCCTTTCACTGTTGGTCTCCGTCGCGTTGCTCTTCGCCGTCCTCGTCGTCGTCCTCGTCGTCGCCGTCGTCGTACCTATTGTATAGAGAAAAGAAAAAAAGTGGGGGATAAGTAATCCGTTAATCTTACGTATCGCCACAATACCGACGCATATTATTGCTATTATCATGTTTTTTTTTTTTTTTTTTTTGTTTTTTTTTTTTTTTTTTTTTTTTCAAAATGAAAATGTCATGTCACGCTTTAATTGAAGCGGGTAGACATGGGATTATTTTAAAATTATTATAGCTTTTTGTTTTTTATTGCGAAAGCAAGAGAGAATGCGAGGAAGAAAAAGGTACGTACGGGTATTAGGAGAGAGAAGGTCGATCAGAGAAATGAAGGCCGCCAGCTGGAAGAGCGAGACGGCTCGACGGTCGACGAGCCCGCCGCGAAGAAAGCCGCTGGGACTCCCAAGGGCGATGCAGACGAACTTGTCTATCCTGGTGGTGGTGGTGTTATTGTTGCTGCTGGCGATGGAGCTGGCGATGGGAGAGGCCGTGATGGCCTTCCAGGTCTGCGAAGCCAGCCATTTCTCCTGATGGGCGTCAAACTGCGCGCGCAGCTGGCTCAGCGTCAGCCCGTCTGGTATCTCTGCTGGTATAAGCTGGTCCGTCGTAGGTGCTGTCGTAGCTGTTGTAGTGGCCACCCGCCTGGTGTTGGTGATATGAGTCCAGCCATCGTCGTCCTGGACAGCCACTCGCCGTCGCGGGACGGCCTGCGTCTGAGCCTGAGTCTTCTTCCTGCTCCGTGACCGCGGCATCCTTCCAGTTGTAATTTTGATTATTGTTGTTGTCTCTGCGTTGTTCTGGTGAGGTTGAATTAACGATTGGGTGGAGTTCCTCTTCCGGCCTAGTCGAGCCATCCATCGCCATCAACCACCGCCAGACTTCTACTTTAAGCTAACTTAGATACGCCCAACGACGACCATCCCGACGCCACGCCTACGCCTGGGAAGATCCTGCGTCCGTCTCGAGCCAGCCATGAAGCATGTCCACCACGCGAGCGGCAGGCAACAGGCAACAGGCAACAGGCAAGCAACAACCAGGCAACAACCAAGCAACAGCGGGTGCTCACTCAGGAACAAACACGAGCCCATGAACCACCGAACCAGCCTTCAACCTCTTAGCCGCCAAGTCAAGGTCAAATAACTCACTAGCTAAAGGTCCCCTCCCTCTCCCTCCCCCCCTCAAACGAACTCCACGCTAGATGCCAACGAACATTCCATGCAGATACTTCACAGATTCTAATGCTCTGGTGGATGGGCGGACGGGATGGACATGGACATGGTCATGGTCATGGATACTTGGCTTTGCTTCTTCCTTTTCGCTCTTCATGGACATGGGCTAAGGGTACAGGAAGTATATATGCTTCGATGGATACGACAAGGGCCGGGGGCTGACAAGGGGACAGGGACATGGCTGTGGTCATGGACGAGAGGAAGTTACGAAGTTTCTCCCCGCGGCCGCCCGTTTAAGACTTTCTCGAAGGCACATCCACGCTAAAAGGAAAAAAAACGAACTCTACGGACGACATTTCTTAGCTAAACTTCCAGCTAACTAAAGCGAGAAAGAGTCAAGACTTTTCTTTTCTAACCCAACCACGGCCGGGATCTGCTGCAGTTCAAACTTGATGCAGATTACATATTATTACATACTTACTTTAAGAAGAGGTGCGAGTGATAGGCAGATACCCCGAAATACCCGCGGGATGTGACGATGGGATGGAGGATGATGAGCAGTCGTCGGCCGGCGGGTTTGAGAAGAAGTCACGAGCCGGACGAGACGATGGTTTATTTTCGCTTGTGTCAGGTCGTGCGTGTGATGGGACGTATTTATGGGGCGCCGCGAGTGAGTTTCGATGGGATGGTCGGTGAAGGGAGAATTTGGGCGACGGAAGACGGATGCGGAGGAGGGTCAGAGATGCCGATGTGGATGGGTGAAGCGCTTGGCTGGCGATGGGAGTTACAGCTGCAGGAGACCAGAACGAAGGATGAGATCATAAGATGGGGAGGGATGCTATTATTAAGATGGAGATTTTTTGGAGATTGGAGATGGAGATGCGCGAAGACGGGCTAAAATGTTAAAAATGCGGATGATAAGGAGGTGCCTTTTTCATGTGCAATCGGCCATGGATAGCCGATAGCCGGAGACAAGTTGAAGCCAGCTAAGACGTGAAGACAGTTGGAGTCTATCTCATTAGCTCGACGGCGTTGGTATGGAGCAGTGGAAGAGTCTACTCTGCTCTGCTCTGCTCTGCTCAACCTTCTCAGACAGAGACTGCCTTTGTATGGTAAATGCCGCATCGCAGTCTCTTATATAAAGAGCACTGAAGTCATCTTCTTCTCTTTGGACTACTTGGAAATATCTACTCTGTTATGGTAGTGGATGCGTTGATGGTCGACGAATGAGGATATAAATATCAACGACCACTTCACGTTGGCCCCCAACTCATCCAGCACGACGATGAATAACAGCAATCAAGCGAGCAGTCAGAAGTCAGAAAATTCTGCTTACGGAGTCCCTGCAGCCGCCCTTGTCCCTTGCTCGCATTGCACAGCCAGTCAGTTTCTATTCCTGCTCCCTCTCGATCCACCGCGGCGCTAACTCAAGCATTAGCCAGTTCCCCATCTTGCTCCAGACTGAATAACAACAATTAACGAATAATGCCAAATTTTGACTCTTGACCTGTGAATCTCGAGTTGAGCCTCGCTTCGGACGAGATGCCCCCTTTCTTGCTGTCGCTCCGTACCGTCTCCTCCTCCTGGGGCCAAGGGATAAAAGGAGCATGTCTAGCAGCACCAGCTTCAAAAAGGGACCAGACCAGACGGAAGAAGCAAAGTTAACCTGCTATCGGGGGCGCTTCGACGATGATCTGACCTGGCGAATAGGAAGCAGAGATGCCGCTGCGGAGGCCTGTGATGGTGAGTTGAGGTGCTGCAGCTTCGCCTGTGCCAGTCACATCCGTATCCATGCAGCAGGCGAATCAGAGGCTCAGGATGGCCTTTGACGGGAGACAGGGATGCGAGCCAGCCATAGGAAGTCATGGAAGGGCAAGCAGAGCAGCAGAGCGAAGAGAGATAGATCGAGAGACAAGAGTCGCCGCTTGTGCTGGTGCTGGTGCTGGTGCTGGTCGAAGGCTGACAGGGGCGAGTCCTCTATCACATCGTTTAACCGCCCAACATTCCCAGCGAGACGGTTAGGCCTGTGTTATTGGCTGTGCTCGACTGGCAAAGGGGACTTCTCTTCGCTGCTGTTTGGTGGTAGATGGCCTGCGATCCCTGTCGCAAGTCACCTCTTTGCTTCTCGTCGCCGCCCCCAGAGAGAAAGAAAGCAGACGGCCCTTGAGGGTGCTGACCGTGCCGCTGCGACCGCCTGCATGACCCTGAGCCCCCTCCACCCCCCGAGAAAGGATTCGACCTCTTTATTTAACTACTTGTTTCTTCATCTTGACTGAGGCCAGCGGCTAGACAGACTGCTATACAACCATCTCTCCTCGTCATCGTTCGTGGTCGTTGTCGTTATCAAACTCGACTCTTCAACCGTCCATATCAAAAAGACGACAGACAGACACTCATCATGAGGACGCACTTCTCGCTAGGACCCTTCATTGGAGTCTTCCTAACTCTCGCCTTTGCGACCCTCGCTGCAAAGGGACACACGGTCATCGTCTACCCGGGATGGAGAGAGAACAACCTGCACAGCAACGGCACCGTGGACGAAACCAACGGCGCCGGCGTGGCCATCAGATCAAACACCTCTGAGCTGCTATATCCATACGGCATGCAATGGATCTACCCATGTACGCATGCACTCCTTCCTGTTCCTCTTAAAAAAAACTTGTCAAACATCTATAAATCTAACAGACAACAAACCTCCAGGCGGCGGCACAGTAACCAGCACGAACCGAACAAAATGGCCCATCAATGGCGGTGCCATCTCCTTCCAGCCAGGATGGTTCCCAGGCCACAAGACCGCGCTCATCTACATCAACCTGGGCATGGGCACTACTCCCCTCAACATGAGTCTGCCCATGGTCCCGCCCTTCCAGATAACCGGTCCAACCGTTGCCCCGTACCCAGGCACCTTTTGCCTCCCCCAGGTTCCAC